CACCATGGATTGACCAGATAGATTTGGCATGTAGGTACCAAAAGAGCAAGCCCCCTCCAATCTGTCTCCCTAAACTTACGGCTCTCATTCCCTCTGGCTCTCCTGTTCTTCTGTGTTGTGGTCCTCACGACCTTGTTGCTGAAGGTCACCCAGAAGAGGTGGGCAGATGTGGCTAATGTTACAACCCATTGGCCCAAGAAGCCATGTTTATTGATCCCAGATCTGAGGCATCCGAAGGGCAACTGGTGATAAATATTCTCTTTTCTTCAATACAACATAGCCCTAAAATTTTTATTAGTATATATTAATTGTAAAAAATAATGGGTTTATTTATGACATTTTTACACATGTATATGAGGTACTTTGATCATATTTATCCACACTTATTCTCTTGGCCCTGGGAGTAGCCTTTAAAATCTTTTATTATTCTCTCCCAGTCTCTCTTTCTGTGCAATGTGAGTATGTGTGTGTGTGTGTGTGTGTAAGAGCGTGTGTGAGTGTGTGAGAGAGAGACGTTGAACTCAAGGCTCAAAGTCAAGACAAGACAGAAGAGACAGTAGTACTTCCTGCACTGCATTGATGATGACCCTGAATGTCCTCTCTGTGCTGGAAACAGGAACAGAGACTCAGAAGCACGGAAGGTGGAAAGCAAGCACACCCAGTTACTGTCTGTGTGGTGAAGCACACCATGAGTGTGTGTGTGTGTGTGTGTGTGTGTGTGTGTGTGTGTGTGTGTATGTATGTGTGTAAAGGTTCACACGTGAGTCCCAGGCAATCTGCCAGGTCTAAGAGATCTAAAAGGTGCAGTGTGAACAGTGACGCAGAGGACAAGCTTGAGGTGGGGTTCACATATAAGTCAGAGGGGGATAGATAGAGACAGAAGAGACAAAGCTGTGTGTGGGCTGCAAGAAGCCAGTTGCTCTGGCTCCCCAACCCAGGGCATCATATTCCTATTGAAGTCAGCATTAGATGCTGCGATGGAGATTATGTTTATAAATTGCCACATGCTGTTTATGTTTGAAGCTGGCTCTGGAAGCAAGGTAGTTCTCCCTCCATTCCAGACCCAATCATGTTTGTCCCAAAGTGTCCCCTAAAATTCATGGTCCAGGACAGGCTGGCCTTGTGTCAAGGAAAAAGGAGGACAGCGAAACAGCCAGACAGTGAAAACATGATGTCCCTAAGAACAGGAGGGTGAGTCAGTTGATCTGTGCCCTTAAGAACAGCTGGAGGTAATCATATAATATAAAATATAATATAAAAACGCTTGTGGGAATAGCTAATTGGAAGTCTCACAAGAAAGAAAGGTGTTCTGCTTGGAACCTTGTCATAAACCAGGGACTCGACTGATTGTTTTCTTGCCTTCTTGAGCTGTTCTGCTGGATAATGGAAGCGCCTAACCTGATGTCCTGCCATGCTATTTTTCTTTTATTTTTTGTTTGCTATATATTTAACATATTTACTCATTTGAAACCAAAAGCATGGCTATCATGGATCATTCTCTATGTGTAGCAGAGGCCAGGCTCCATCATTTTCTCTGCTGTTCCTGTGCTCCCTTGGGCCATAGCCTCCCTCAGCAACAAGCCCCCAGGCTACGCACCACCTCTCTACAGCTTCCTCCCAGCATTCAAAGTATTGTCTAGTATTCTGCTCCTCAAGTCCTTGAGTTCTCCACTGGATGGTCTGTGTGGAGAAGGAAGCGTGAGAACCAGTAATGTCCAGCTGAATCGTTATAGCCCTGTCTGATTTACAAGGTGTCAAAAACTTATTTTATAAAATTTATTTCTTGCTTTCATTTCAGTACCCTTTTAGCTTTGATTTAAACAAGTTTCATTTTATTCACTTTCTTACAAATAATTCTTTTTCTATCTCAGGAAATTACATCTATATTTGGTGTTTTGGTAAACAAGGTACCTACATATAAATAGTCAATTTCACAGAGACAAAGAGTCCAGCCAGTGGAGGGGTTACCAGGGGGTGGGGGAATTTTTGTGAGTCATTGCCCAGGCCACAATGGGCTCTTCAAGCCAGAGATCTCCCTATGCTTTTCTTAGTAACCCCAGTACACTCACTGATTCACCTAGCTACACTTCAGTGGAATTATTTCTTTGCTCTGTCCATCAGTACCATAGGACAGGTGAATATATGTCTTTCCACATCTCCTCCAAGAAAAATAACGCAACACAGGAGAGAGGGTTAGACCAAGAAGAGTCCGTTTCTGCTAGGGTAATGTGACTATTGATATTTACTTGCCTGGGTATTAAGAGTCTAATTGCCTGTGATCTACTTTGCCTAAGCCTCTGCCAAAGACATCTGGCAACTTAGCCTGTCTCGGGTTTCTAAATATAGTGCTTATCTGTCTTACATGCAGATGGACTGTTCCAGTGTTCTTTGTTGTGACATGTCTTTGTGTCAGGGCCACAGCAGATGCTTCCAGGTCTCCTTTCACCCTTAGCATTTGTTTGATGTATTTGTTTTTGTTTTGTTTTGAACGAGAACTCGGATGGGCTCACATTTCTGGGGAAAGACGGTAACAGCAGCCATGCGAATGCCCTCAGCTCAGGTATCATTCTGCAAACATATGACCCAAAGAGAAAGACAAGTAGTTTTAAGCTTGAGTTTTGCTCTTCTCAAATACCATACAGGTAGTTAAAAAAAAAAAAATCCATAGATCAGTTGATAGTAAAAACGTAGTTGGCTATTTTTTTTTTTTTTGTCATGCTAGGAATCACAAAGTTTGAAAAATGGCAATTAGCTTTTAAGAAGGTCTCAGGATGTCATCTGTCTCCCATCACCTGAGCAAGAATCTATGAACTTGAGATCCTATCTCAAAAACAACAACAACAACAAAAATCCACGAAGTCTGTGAATTATTGGGGGATAAGAATGGTGGGAGTGGTAGAGTGAGCAGACACCCTCTACCCCATTGGTGGGAGAGTAAACTGCTATGGAAGGTGGCATTGTTTATCAAATGCACATATCCTCTGACTCAGCATCATTCATTGCAGCATAATTTGTTGTGGAAAAATACCCCTGCACCCCGGCCCTGGGACTAAACACCAGACGCTGGTAACACTGGTCGCCTCTGGGAGCAACAGAGATGGAAGGACTTTTCAGTCTTGTTTCTACTCCTACTGTATCACCTGTCTCCACCACTTCTCCCAAAGCAGACAGGAAACATACTAAGTTTTCTGGTGGTAAAGGGTACACTAAGAGGATTTTAAATTTAGATTTTTTTTTTTTTATGGTGGAATTGGGGATTGAACCCAGGAACACATGCCAGATAACCGCTGTACATTGAATCACATTTGTAGCACATTAATAAAACAATACTTTATAAAAATAATTAAAATTTTTTTATGTATATGGGTGTTTTGCCTGCATATAAGTCTGTACACCGTATGTCTGTGCCTGGTGCCCTTGATGGAGAGAAGAGGGTGTCATATTCCCCGGATATGAAGTTGTTGGGAGGCCCTCCTGGTTAGGGGTTATAATCTGCCATGGCCTGGCCGCTCCCTTCAAGCTCAGCAACATGGAGGACTCCCTCTGCCTGGAGGAGGGTGCTTCCTGCTCTCTATCTGACCTTATCTGGAGAATGTCTCAGCCCGGATGCCTGATTTATAGAGGAGATAAGTGTGACCCTTGACACAGTTCCCTGCAATGCTGGCCCCCTGCTGCCCATATGGTAATTACACAGTGCTCGGAGCACTATGATAGGACCGTGCTTCCACAGACGATCACTAAGACTTGTACTAGGAGTGTTAGGATAGGAACGTGCTGTTTGGTGCAAATTAGGTGATGCCCCAGGCACTGCCCCCATTCTTTATTCCCCACTCTGGAATAAAGCTGAGCTGTCTCAACTGAAGCTGTCTTGTGGAAGGCTATTTCCGCCATGGTCACAGGTCATCCAAAGCTTTCTGTTGTTGCTTCTGCCCCTTGTCCTTGTGGACTGCTGGCCAATGGACCAGGAGGGAAAAAAAGGGGACTCCACATAGAGTTACAGATGGTTGTGAGTCTGTAGGTAGGTGCTAGGATTGAACCCAGGTTCTCTGGAAGAACAGCCAGTGCTCTTAACCCATCAGCCATCTCTCCAGGCCCAAAGGGAGCTGAGCAGGAGCTTTCCTCTTTTTTTTTTTTTTTTTTTTGGCAGGGTCTCACTATGCAGCTTTCCTGGAACTATGTAGAAGAGCTGGCCTTGAACTCAGAGATCCTTCTGCCTCTGCCCCCCAAGTGCTGGGATTAAAGGTGTGTACCACTATGCGCAGCCCCTTTTTAAGGTTTTAAAATGTACTAATATTTATGTGGATAGTGTGTGTGTGTACAGACACACTCATGCCATGGTGTGTATATGGAGGTCAGAAGACAATCTGAAGAGTCAGTTCTTTCGTTCCATCTTTGCATGGGTGTCAGGGACCAAACTCAGGTTGTCAGGCCTGCGTGGCAAGCGCTTTACCCACTGAGACACTTCCGGAGCCCACTAGAAAAAAATTTTTTTTAAATACATAGGGAATTGGAGAAAACCCTAACTGAATGAAAAGTCACTAGTCACTACAGGAATTGTTCAAGAGAAAGTCAGTCAGTAGAACTTTCGTTCCCTCTCATCCTGTCTTTCCACAGGACACATGAGCAAAAGGCAAGAGTCCGGAAACAAGGAGCACGGAGGCAAGAGGATCAGGAGTTCTAGATCATTTTCAGCTATACAGCAAGTTCAAAGCCATCCTAGCCTACATGAGACCTTGTCTCAAAACAAACAGAAGTCATGGGTTGGAGACATGGCTAGGTAGTTAAGAGCACTTGTCCTTACACAGGACTTGGATTCAGTTCCCAGCAACCCTATCAGGCAGCTTACAACCACCTGTAACTCAAGTTCCTGGGGACCTCTGTGACTCTTCTGGCCTCCACAGGTGCCAGGCATGGATGTGGTACACATATAGACATACAGGCACTCACACAAAACTTTTAAAAACCTGTGTTTATATAAATAAAGCCATGAAGCCGAGGAATAGGTAGGACAGACAGTTTATTGTGGCTTGGTTGTAGTGGAACACACAACTCCTCGACATGTACAATTGTTCTGATGTTACTGTTGCTTTGCTGGAGACCACAGTGTGATGTCTTAGGTCTGCAGTCTTCTGTTAACCTGGTTACCTATTTTACAGTTCAAGTTAGGAAAGTCAGGGAAATCTGGTTGTGACACCCTAAATCAAGGGCTGTGACTTACAACCCAGCTGTGTAAAGTGCTTATTCTCAGTGCAAAAAGGTCAGCCTTGAGTAAGCGGACACCAGGCAATGGGGGTTCTTAGGAGCTGGGTGGTGTGTTCTATGACTCAAGTTAGGGAAAGCCACTGCTAGACTGCACCCTTAAGAGATCTAGTATTTTACTTCAGCCTTTCTTCTCCAATAGGACCAAAGCTTGGACTCCGACAGATGTCCATGAACAGTTGTTTATTAAGAAAAACTTGGTTCAGAAGAAATGAACAGGGCTTCAAAGCACCAGAGACATTGACTTCAGTTTCCAGTTCCTGTTGCCTTGGCAGTAAAGGGGAGACCAACAGGCTGAGGTCTGCCTGGTGGGAGACGTGGGGCTCTCATTTGCAAATCAGTCACTGAATGACAGACCCCTCCTCTCGAGCACTGACTTATCTTAGGTGGGAAGATAAGCAGATGCTTATTAAACCCTCATCTAGTCCCCCACCATTGGGTGAGACTTATTTCTTACCCCCTTGTTCTGACTCATCTATAGACTTAACTGTGATGTGAACCCCATTCCCTTAGTGTACTGCTGCCTCAATGAGCCAGGTCTTTGCATATTCCAGCCCATGATCCTGAGGAGACTGGAGGGAAGCATAAGGGATAGAGAAATGGTTTCTTAACTAATTCAAGAAGAACAAACAGGAATGGAACTCAAATAGGCGGAGTCCGTCCATTCATTCATCCCCAGGATCCTGGCTACCATCTCTTTCCCTAGACTCTGAAAAAAAAAAGTCATGTGTTCTTACCCATCCACCCTGCAGCAGGGATACTGATAAGAGCCAGCTCTGCCTTTTCCTCCCCTCTGGATGAATGGGATGGGGCCTGGCCTCCGCATCCCCAGATCTTACCATTGATGCTGTCACCAGAGCTTTCAGATGCCTGCACCTGAAAACCTTGTGCTTGTAAGAGGTGCTGCCGGGAAAGCTGTCACATTCCACGGCATACTCCTAATGCTTTCTCGGAATTGTGGAAAGGGAGAAGAGGCAATCTTTTTGGCATTGCTTTGTAATTCTCTGTTAAGCCCTCCGACTAAGAGGGGCTGCTAGGCCGGGCGGTGGTGGTGCACGCCTTTAATCCCAGCACTCGGGAGGCAGAGCCAGGCGGATCTCTGTGAATTCGAGGCCAGCCTGGTCTCCAAAGCGAGTTCCAGGAAAGGCGCAAAGCTACACAGAGAAACCCTGTCTCGAAAAACCAAAAAAAAAAAAAAAAAAAAAGAGGGGCTGCTAAAGTGTGTCTGCACAGTAGGGAGGGACTGTGGACAAACAGGGTGACCTGGGTTAAGAACCAAAAATGCAGGGAAGGTTTTCAGACCAGCGGAAAGTAGAAAGTAAAGTGCCTCTCTTCAACAGAGGAGTCTCATTTGTTCAGAAAATGCTTGGGTGTAAACATGAGTGCACACATGCACACACACAGTCACTCTGAGGTAGAAAGATGGCTATCTCCAGACAAACACAGATTCTCCAACTTTACAGGGCACTTGTGTGAAAGGACCTGCTTTTGCCCACACAGGCAAGTAGGGTCCATCCTGCTCACTCCAACCTAGGGCAGGGCCAGAAGTTCCACTCCACAGGAAGACAGAGATGGAGGGCATTGTGTGGCATTGTGCCTGTGGCCACAGCTCCCAGGCTGCGGTCTCTGGGTTCTGCTGCCCAGGGTCACTTCCTGGAGCCTGGGCCATGGGCACCACGGGAGTGGCTTGTCAGAAGCCACTGAGCACAGATGTCCTGCACTACAGAATCCCCACTGCTTTTGGCAGCCTGCTGCACCTGCTGGACGAGGGCGGCGGCCTGTGAGTGTTCTTGCTTCACGGCGATCAGGTAGGCAGACCGCAGTTTGCAACATGTCAGGTAGGCTCGGACCTAGTGATTGAGTACGAGACAGTTGAAAAGAAATGATCACCAAAGGAAGATCAACAGACATAGAGAGCACCAGAAAGAACTGGCAGATAAACAATTCTTCTCCCTCACCAACTTCATAGCTAGGTCCTTGCTTTTTATTGTTTCCCAACAACTTGAAATGTTCTAGACATCAAGCTATTGAATGGCTTTCTGTTCTGATGTAAGGAGCTACCACAGATAAGACAGGAATTGAAAAACCAAAGCGGGCAGGCAGAGTTGGGTCTCTATTCCTCCAGTTTCTTTTTGGAATCAGAACTAGAATTGCCTGCCAGTCTCTACAGGTTGTGATTTTATAGGTATCTGTTGATTAACTGATATTCTTGACTAGACTACAAGGTCCATGAGAGCAAGAACAGCATATCCTTTGTGCTTCACATGTAGTCAGTGTTCAATAAGTGGGCCTTACGTGGGTGAATGGATGAGTAAATAATCATACCTTCCTTTGCAAAGGGTTTACAGATTCCCCCTTTCTATTTTGAACACGCTGAATTAAAACAAAAACAAAACAAAAAAACCTTTGGGTGGGTGGTCCTTGGGGACTGCACCTGGGGCCCATGGATGCTAGGTAAGCATTCTACCATTGAGCTATTCCCAGTCTCGAATTGAAAGCCCACTGACAGATAACATGGGGAGAAAAATGGATACACACAATTAGAAAAGGTCTAGTTAAGATATCACCCCAGTGAGACTGGAATGGACTCCTCTTGTTTGGAGCTAAGGCAGCTCAGCGTGCGGGATAATGTTATCTCCACACTCTCCATCTCACGACTCAAGAACCCTTTCTCCTTGGCTCTGGTTCCACCAGGCCTTCATCACTCTGGGCGAGCACTAACAAGGTCTCCAAAAGCTGTAGCTGACCTCTCACGGGCAGCTTCCTTTCTGCTGTAACAGTTATTTCTCAGTCGGAGACATTGTTTTGCTCTGTATAAAATGCTTCATCTTTTTGGGATGTGTGTGGGTCTTGCTGGCCAGTCTCTCTGGGCTGATTTCAGATAGCTTCTCAGTACAGAAAATATCTGGTGTGCGGTGAGCTCACTGAAGCAATTGGGTACTGCTGTTGGGGGACAGATAGGTCACCCTAGGGAGTGAGCCCTCATCTAGCATTCAAGAGAATGCTATTGCTAGAAAATCTAGAATAAAAAAAATGGATCAAGGGGGCTGGCGAGATGGCTCAGTGGTTAAGAGCACTGGTTGCTCTTCCAGAGGTCCTGAGTTCAATTCCCAGCAACCACATGGTGGCTCACAACCATCTGTAATGAGATCTGGCACGCAGGCAGAACACTGTATACATAATAAATAAATAAATCTTTAAAAAAAAATGGATCAAACCAGTTTTTGGCAAGACCTGTGCCCTGAGGTCCTGAAAGTACCCTAGAATAGTTACTCAGAGAAACAACTGTTTCTCTTGACTCCTGGGTTCTCATTCGGATTGTACAAAAGTAACCGCTGTTTTGGATGTGGGAATTTCATCCTTTCCAAGGACCTCACTGGGATGTTGTACAAATGGTGAAGAAATGTTTAGAACATGCTCTCCTTAGGATCTAGACTGGACAAAATGGTCAGCAGGTTCTGCCTGGGGCCTGGCAAGAACAGTGGAGCAGCTCTGGGGTAGGAGAAGAAGCCATTGCCTGACACTAGTTTTCACCACGAGGGACTCCACAGCTGGAAAATTTGTCTCCTGATGGTCAGCTGGTCTGGCTTTGCTTTTTCAGGACTCTTCTAGCCCGGAGGCCTTCCTGAAGACGGCAGGACGATGGCGCCCACGACTAGCCACATCAGTGACACCGATGAAGGGGTAAACTGGCTGGCACTTCTCACAGAGGTAATGTGGAGCAAAAGGTCCCGTCATTTCCCAAACAGGGCAGAGTTCTTGGGCCCCGAGGGAGCACTGTCCTCCAAAGGGCTGAGTGGATGTTTTGGTTTGAATGTGAAATACACCTCACAGGGGCATGTGGTGGAACAACTGGTTTGTAACTGGTGGTGCCATTTAGAAGGTTGTGGCACCTTTGGAAGGTGGACCCTTGCTGGAAGAAATTGTCACTTGGGGTGGGTATTGCAGTTTTAGGATCCCACTTTCTGGTCTCTCTCTGCTTTCTATCTTTTTTTAAACACAGACAGGGTGGCTGTCCTGGAACTCGCTCTGTAGACCAGGCTGGCCTTGAACTCATAGAGATCCACCTGCCACTGCCTCCTGAGTGCTGGGACTAAAGGTGTGTGCCAAGACCACCCAGCCTTTCTGTTTTCTACCTTTGGGTGCAATGTGAGCAGCCAGCCGCCACCTCTTGCCACTTTGCTTTTCCTTCCCCAGTACAGTGGACTTTATCCCTTAAACTCTAAGTTGGAAGACATCTCTCCTTCCTTAAATTGTTTCCCGTTAAGTATACTGTCACAGCAACGAGAACAGTAGCTAATACAGTGGGTTTTTCTTATTGCACTCTCTTTCTCTCCAGAATAAGGAGACCCCCTCCCCATCAGGAACCTCATACAGTCAGTTAGCCTGAAGATGGAACTGAGATTGCCTATGGCTATCTGATGAGAGACCTCAGAATAACACGGAGATTTAAAAACAGTCTCAGGGATAAAGAGTTGGGAAGGCAAAGGCTTGGGCAGTCAATGTTCATCTGCCTCTCTCTATCCCTCTGGAGCTTTTAAAGTACTGTCTAGGTCCTGGATAGCAAAGAAACTGAAGCATAAGCCTGTAGGGGGCAAGGGAAGCCTCCGTGCATCCGTTCAGTAACATCACCAGGGCTAGGAGACACTTGGGGCCAGGAGACACTTCTGCTCACCTTGTTGTCATCGCTGTGTATGGCCTGGATCAGTCCCTCCAGCTCCTGTGTATGACAGAGACAGAGCAGCTGTGAAAGGGAGAAGAACCTCCCACCTGGGAGCCTGGGCTCTAGCCGGTCCGAGGTGGGGTTGCCCGCTTGAATCCTCTCACTACCTCAGTTCCCACTCTAAGAATAATGAGTGATGGCTAATGACAATACCATGCTTGGGATTGGGGCAGAAGGAACAACATCTCCTAAGAGGCCCAAGCTGAGCTTTCACAAATGGATGTGGCTCTGTTCACCCCACGAGCATGTCACAGGGAACAGTTTTGCAGGCAGGATGCTTCAAGGGCCCCTCCAATCTATCTCATCAGAACACAGACATTTCCAAGTACACACTATTGGACAAGAGTATGCTGAGGGATGCCTTCTGGAGACAGACATCATAATCAGGACCTCTACAGAGGGAGAGAGTTGTTAGGAGACCATGAGTGCAGAGAGTCAGAAAGAGAAATAGATCTTGTAGTGAGGAGGAGGAGGAGGAGGAGGAGGAGGAGGAGGAGGAGGAGGAGGAGGAGGATGAGGATGGGATGATCCTGAAGCAGATAGTGGACCCAAGAGGTCCAGGAGTGGGCGCACCTGCGGCGGGATTCTCTTGAAGGCTTCCAGGCAGTTGAGGAGGATGGTGTCGCCGTCGCTCTTGGCTGCCATGCCCGACTCACTGACACACTTGAGCAGCTGTCGGATCTCGCCGTATTTCTCCCTCTCCACCAGCTGCCTGGCGGCTCTGCAGTAGGTCGCAGCAGCATCCAGCTGGAAGTCCTAGGACAGAACGTGGGAAGATGGGCTCAGGCAGCGGGAGATGCCCACGGTGGGAAGTGACCGCAGTCACAGCAGTCACCGCAGGGAACACAAATATCACAGATAGGCGGAAGCGAGAAAGGCTCTCTCTGGAGTCAGGCAAACATGTCAGAAGTGAGTATAAAAACCGCCTCCTCAGTATACGAAATGGTGCGTCCTGCTTGCTTCCATGGGCCTTTCTTTCCTTCAGGACAGGGTCAAGGCTGGACTTCAGTGCCTGATTTTCCTGTCTCCACTTCCCAAACACTGAGATTCCAGGGTGTGCCACCATGCCTGGCTCCATGGACTTTCAAAGATGTTCTACTTACTTCCTAAGACCAATTCTCTCTCCCTTGACTCACCTTTCTCTGAGAAACGGTGCATGGAGCTGGTGTTTGTCTGTTAACAGCTGCCCAAGTGTTGAAACAGATTATCAAGACTCACTGCTGAAACCTGTCAGATAAATGTCTTAAACCTAGTCTTGGTTAGCCCTTATGCCACAGGATTCGGGCTTGGCAGGGATGTCCCGGCTACTCCTTCTAGACATGTTCTGCTGAGCAGATGAGTGACATTTCTGCAGTAAACCAGTTGTGGGGAGCTGTCTTACATGTGCTCCTTGACACCTTTTGAAATGCTAAGGTTGACTTTTGGCACAGTGGCACAGACTCTGGCATCTGACCCAGTTCTGATTTCCTCCTTAACGTACATGTAAATCTGCTCTTCCTGGGACAAGAATATTTTCTAAAGAACAGCCTTTCCCAGAAACGTCAGGTGTGGGTTCCCTTGCCATACTCTTGAATAATACATCATACCTGCAGAACACGGAACGCAATTCCAAATCCCTCTTCCACATTTTTCCCTCCCAGCATAACCTGGAGGGAGAGGGAGATATGCTTAAAGGAATCATAATATTTTTTAAAGAAGATTTATTTATTAATTTATTAATTAATTAATTTATTTATTATGTATAGTGTTCTGCCTACACACCAGAAGAGGGCGTCAGATCTCATTACAGATGGTTGTGAGCCACCATGTGGTTGCTGGGAATTGAACTCAAGACCTCTGGAAGAGCAGCCAGTGCTCTCAACCTCTGAGCCATCTCTCCAGCCCCAGGAATCATAATTATTAAAATAACTTCTCAATAAAAAAATCAGGGTCCCTATTTATCTTTATCATCATCATCATCATCATCATCATCACCATCACCACCATCATCACCATCAAGTTTTTGTGGAGACAGGGTCTCCCTACACAGCCCTGGCTGGTTTAGAACTCACTATGGCCGGGCGGTGGTGGTGCACGCCTTTAATCCCAGCACTCGGGAGGCAGAGCCAGGCGGATCTCTGTGAGTTCGAGGCCAGCCTGGGCTACCAAGTGAGTTCCAGGAAAAGGCACAAAGCTACACAGAGAAACCCTGTCTCGAAAAACAAAACAAAACAAAACAAAAAAAAAAAAAAAAAAAAAAAATAGAACTCACTATGTAGATCCACTGTGAATTCAATTCACAGTGATTCTTTTACCTCTGCCTCCCTAGTGCTGGAATTACAGATATGAGCCAACACGCCATTTATTCAGTTATTAAATACATGCTGAGACTTTACTGAGCATCCAGGCACCAGAGATACAAGTGACCCAGTGGACTTTATTTCCCACCTGAGGCACGCATTTCAGTGGGGAGGAAGCCACCAAACAAACAACTGAAAGAATCAGATAATTACAGTTGGGATAAGCATTCTGAAAGATGCGAGCAGTCTGTCAGAGAAACACTACATGTACCTTGCAGGCCACTTCCATTTTCATGTGGTTATTTCCAAAGAGTGTTGGCAGAGGCAAAGTGGTGATCTGAGAAGTCCCAGCACTTTCACACCGATGTAAGAATCTGGTCACTTCCATCTGTAGCTGAAGTGTATTCATATGCCTATGGGGACAGGACGGGCATGGACTAGCCTCATCCGGCTCTCAGAGGAGTGGGTATCTGGGGCTGGGTGACTGGTTCACAAGAAGATGGCAATGGAAAGACCAAAGAAATGGCATGAAGGGAAGAGACTTGAAATACCCTCCAAACAGCTATGGGTAGACAGAAAGGAAAGACCGGCCCCCCCCAGACATACAATAGTTAGGGCGCACTGTGGGACTGGACAAAGTTCCGGCACTGAATCAACAAATATTAATGGAGTATCTTCGTGGCAGGTACAAGAGTGAGAGGGGAGGCTTGCGCCCTGCTCGCCCAGCTCACGGGCTTGAGGAGAGATGGACAGTAACCAGACACAGAAGAGGTTTAGTGACTGAGTCTAAGAAGACAATAAAGTAGAGTGGTGGAAGATTTGTTTACATTATTGTTGTTGTTGTTATTATTATTATTATTATTATTATTATTATTATTTTGAGACTAGATCTAGCTACACTGATGGCCTCAAATTCCTGACCCTCCTGCTTCATCGTGTACTACCATGCCTGGCTAAGCGTTTACTTTAGATAGTATGTTCTGAACAGACCAGCATAAAAGAAGAAAGCACTTGGGTCAAGGATGCTGGAGGCCAGTGGCGGACGTGTACCAAGGAAGAAAAGAGATCAGAGAGAGATTGTGCTGGACCTTTTTTGCTCATTGTAAGGAATGTGGGGTTCAGTCTGGCTGTAGCATGGGATCCTAATCCCTTCCTACAGTAGCTTTCCAGGCTGTAGCAGATACTATCATCCAAGGCTGATGCCTTTTCATCCCCAGTGACACTCGGCCCCAGCCTTCCTGCCCTGCACTGACCATCTCCCGAGCCTTGCCATACCTGGACACATGCCCTCCACTGACCATCTCCCCAGTCTTGCCATACCTGGACACATGCCCTGCACTGACCATCTCCCCAGCCTTGCCATACCTGGACACATGCCCTGCACTGACCATCTCCCCAGCCTTGCCATACCTGGACACATCAGCAGCAGTCATCTTCTTCCGGAAGAAGGTGGTTTTCTTCCTTCCAGAGCTGCGGGATGTTTCTTGGAGGTAGATCTTCAGGTGGTCCTTGGCCTTAAGCAACCACGAGAGCTTCTCTCCCAGCTCTGTGTAGGACTTTGCTTTGTGACTAAAGAACCGAATACAGGTCATGGCAGCCCGGACTTGGTCCTAGGATTGGAAAGTGAATGTTAGGTTTAGGAGAGATCAGAGGTGTCGGGGGTGGGGTGGTAGGGTGGGTGTCATGAGCATCCTGATCTGATTCTCCCTGATAAAGCAGACCTTCAGGTTCTGGCCCTGTCATGTCTTCATCCCTAGAGCCTCGCTTTCTCCCTGATAAGTACCAGTGCCGACCCTATCACTAGCTGAGCAGCATTTTACGTCAGTGATTACAGGGGCCCAGAGACCCTAAAGTGAACTGCCTGTCAAGCTCTTGGGTGGGATATTATCTCACCACTGTAGAGTTCTCAAAGAAGATCCTTCCCATTCTCCATTAAGTACAAATTCAGTCTTAACTTGGCATCAGATGATCTCATTTCTTTGAGATTACAGTACTGAGAATCTACAGAGAGGGGAAACTGGGTTCTCCTCCTTTCGTTAATTTCTTCTAATTTTAGCTTTCCAGAACATCATTCATTACGGATTCGGTATCTTCTTCCTTCCTTCCTTTTTTCTTTCTTTTCCTCTTCTAATTCTTGTTCACCTTGAGTTCTTTTTTTTAAAAATTATTTTTATTTTATTTTATGTGTATGAGTATTTTGCCTGCATGTATGTCTGTGCACCACGTGCATGCCTGGCATCCGAGGAGGTCAGAAGAGCGCATCAGATCTTCAGGGACTGGAGTTATAGATGATTATGAGTCACCACGTGGGTGCTGGGAATTGAACCTGGATCCTCTGGAAGAGCAGGCAGTTCACTTAACCACTGAGCCATCTGTCCAGCCTGATATTTTTTGTATTCTGAAGAATGCTATTATGGACAAGATTAAAGTTTGGCTCTAAGTGTAGGATGAAAGTCTAAATATTTAACAATGTTGAAGAGCACGGTGGATTTATTTGCTCCATAGGGTCAAATACCAAGGTCAGGGATCAAATGACTGTCCTGTTCCCTCATCTTGCACAGCCTCTCCTGCATGACAAAGCACCAGTGACGGAATGGAATGGAGGATGGCTTGTTATTACTTACCTTCATAAACTGCTGCAGCTCATACAGAATGTGGTAGTAGTTCTTCTTCTGCAGATGCTGGCAGGCGGCCATCAGGTATGTTCCCCAGCTCTCCAAGGTTGGATCAATGGATTCCAGTAGGTTTTCCAAAGTGTGTAACTTCCCACTTTTATAGCTCGGCTGGAAGATGCCTTCGATGAAGACTTCTGGAGGGCTTTCCTGGAGCAGGAGAGAAGGAAGGTAAAAAGCCACAAGCGTGGGACTGGTCCTGGCAGTCTAGGACTTGCTCTGAACCTCAGCATCCTCCTAGGGCAGTGCGTCCTCACCTCTGCATCACAGGTTCCTCTGAGAACCCCTCTCCAACGATGCTCCACTCCTTCCTTGAATGGCTCTCTACACTCACTGCTCTTCTTCCTCTCCTAGGATTTATCCCAATATCATTTTTGCCCCCAAATGCAATTGGCACTGCACGCAGCTAATAAGGAATCTCTACACTGTTAATTCTATCAGTTTCAGTTCTTTGTGGTGTTGAGGATCAAATCCAGAGCCTCTCACATGCTAGAAGACTGACTTACTGTCCCCAGTGGGCTCAGCAGCTTTTGACAGAATAATGACTTCCTCCTCCCTAAAAAACGTTAAGCTGATAATTTTCGTTTTTAATTGAGAAAAAATTTTCTTCACTAGAAACCAGCCTCTCTAGGTTTTCTTTCAACATCTCTGGGCACTCAATTTCCTTGGCTGGTTTCTCTCATCCGTGTAGGACTCTTTTTCTATCTCTACTTTCCTAGTGATGTTATCCAGTCTCGTGACTTTCCATGCTGTGTGTGATGATATCCACACCTTTATCTCCAGCCTGCTCATCTCCCTGGACTTCCTAAACTGCATCTCCTGTGGGACCCAGCTGCCTCTCAACATGACTTCCCACAAAGCCAACAAATCCAACACACAAAAACTGCATTCTTGATTGTTCTCCAAAACCTGCTCCTCCCACACTCTCCCCTTTCTCAGTCATGATACCATCCTTCCAGTAGCTCAGGTCAAAAGTCTCAGGACCATTTTTCTCCTCAAACTCTGATAAAAAACACATCAGCAGGTTCTACCACTGAAGCACACGCAGAAGCTGCCCACGTCTCACACCCACAAGGTGACGCACACCACCATCACGTTCACCTGGATTATCGAAAAAGCCCTCTCCATGCTCTACCATCTCCCACTCTGTCTCTTCCATAGAAAGTCAACAAATCCATTTTGTTGACACCTGAGTCGGATAAAGTTACTCTTCTGTTCATGATCTCTAGTGATTTTGCTTCTCATTAACTATACAGGCCAGATCCTCACAGTGTCTACATGTACTACATGATCTAGCTATTGCCTTCCCAATGGTACCCGACACTACCCTGTCCCCTTTTCTCCTGGCTTCAGCCACGCTGACCTCTGTATTTGCTACGTCCTCTGCCTGGAGCACAATTCCTCCAGTTGTTCTTGTGTCTTTCAGCCCTTTACTCAGATGCCACCTCCTCGGGCACCCCATCTAATATTTTGTAACCCTACTCTTCGTCTGCCTCCTCTGCTGCCCTGTCCCCTCTCTACCTTTAGGCCTCTGCCCTCTTCTGCCTCCCTCTCTTCTTTCATGCTCTTCCTCCTCTTCCTCTTTTGATACAGGGCCTTTCTACATAGTCCCGACTGTCCTGGAACTTGAAATATAGAGCAGGCTGGCCTTGAACTCACAGAACTCTGCCTGACTCTGCCTCCCAAGTGTGTGCTCCTGTTCTATGGATGTTTAACCTCTGTTATACTTGAAAGGATGAACAGAATTTCTCCCAAGAAAACAAGGAGGGGCAGGGCATTCTGGATAGATGGAACAGTGCATGAAGACTAATAAAGATAACAATGTTGACATTTTGGTGAGTCTGGAATATGGAGTATCAATAGCATTTGTGGTGAAAAAGAAATCAGAAATATGGGAGATAGATCTTGAGGTCCAGCTGCATGCTAAGGAGTTGGCTTTCACCCTAATGATTTGCGAAGGCCCTTTGGGGAGAGGGTGTGATGTGTAGGAAGTTTACACGGAGGGCAGTGTGACAGGAAAAGGAACACACAGAAACGCTAACACAGTAGGTGCTCAAGTGTCATTTTCGGTGCCTTCTTCTTTCTGCACCCCTGTTTGCATGAGGACAAAGGCGGGGCTCGTGAACAAGTTCGAGGGTAGCTGATGACGGGGACAAGGGAGCAGGCTTCCTTCCTGGCTTTGTCAACTGCAAAGCAAGGGCAGTGCTGCTGTCAGCTTCCACTCGGGCAACAAGATAAGCAGTGTACCTCTGGCTGCACTTATCCAAGGCAACAGGACCTGATGCTTTACACTCTCAGTCTGTACCTGGTAGAAACATCTTTACTTCCCAACTCACGTGGAGAGAGAGGGAAAGGGAATATTAAATTCCAAATAATCAGACTCATTCAACACAGTTCTTAAGACAAGGTTAGCAGCCGACACACGGTAGTAGCCACGCAACAGTCTCCCTTTCACTGTCCTGTAAGGGTCTGATTATGATGCTGGATTTCTCTTGGAGTCATCTAGAAGAAGTGTCTATTTGCAAACTAATGTTGGATGCTGTCCTGATTTAGTATGGCTGAACAACGTTAGTCTGGTAAGCTCCTTCAGTTTCCTATGGAATTTGGTAAATATCGGTCACTTTGTCAGAAAGTTACCATTGGAATGTTGAGATAAAATAGGAATTCCAGACCTAGGAGATAGCTCAGAGGGTAAGAGGTCTTGTTATGCAACCTGACCACTGACTTTGGTCCTTGGAACCATGCAATAAGCAGGCGCGTGTATCTGTAAGCTCAGGACCCCTATGGAGAGATGGGAGGCAGTGAAAGAAGCTTATGGGCCAGCTAGCCTAGAGTCTACAGAACAGTGCAGAGACAAGACTCCCCGCCTCAAAGGTGGAAGGTGAGAACTGACTTCTGCAAGTTGTCTTCTGACCCCACATGCACCATGGCCCTTGTGTACAGACACCCACCCCCCTCTAGATAAGTAAACAAAAGGGTAGTGACCAAGCAAGTAATGCTCTTGGTGATCTTGCCTCCAGTGGGAGGTGGCAGGGGAGTGAGAGAAAAACAAGGAGAGGCCGTGCTGCTTCCTCACGTACACACGTACACACTTGGGGTGCTCATCTCTGTAACAGCTCTAGGTACACACTCTCCTAGGCCAGGTGGAAACCAAGGGGTTCGGCGATGTGCCTGAGATTCCACGACTGCGCTGTGGGGGAAGGGATGGATTTGGTATTGCTGGTCAGGAGGGAAACTTGGGATGTCATTTAAGACTTGCAGACCTCATCAGATGACTGTATAGACCGAGCCTTTTTGACCTCACAGCTGGACACTGAGTTAAGTCTACGGGGGTGGTCAAGGCGGGCGGCCACTGCCCTCGGACCGCCGCGTCTGGGCGCCCCACCTTGTTGAGCAGGAACAGCAGGGCTTCCCGAAGGCAGTTGTGTCTCACGTAGAAGCTGACGATGGCCAGGTTGGTGCCGTAGTCGTGCAGGTAGAAGAGGCACTCCTGGTAGTAGGTGTTGCTCATGATCTTTCCCTCAGGAATCACCTCGAGGGAGAGGCTCTGGGTTCGCAGGGTGGCTTCCAGTTCCCTCAGGGTGGCGAAGTAATCGTCATCCTGCTGGCAGGAAAAGAGGATGTGAGAGAAAAGGTGGAAAGCACTGAGTCTGCGCAGCCGCTAGAGGCGGGCGGAGGCCCACGTGCCTCTATGTGAGGCCTGAGGGACATTTAACAGGGTGGAGGAAAAATACTGCGGTTTTAGGAGTAGAAAAACAGGTAGGACACAAAATTCTCTCCAATAGGGTACCACTCAAGTTTCATTCAAAAGCATAAACACAAGAAATTTAGTTCCATTTTTGTTGTTTATTGAGACAGTCTTCCTGTGTTACCCAATTTGGCTTTGAACTCCAGGGCTTAAGAAGTTAAGAAGCGGTTCTCCCTCTTCCAACCCCCACTCCCATCCCCAGCTTCCAAGCAGTGTGGACTAGAGGCGTGCATCACTAGGCCTGGCTCTCAACAAATCTTAACACTCGATGGGCTGTGGCAGTGTGCACAAGGCTGAGATCTAGGATTCATGAGTTCAAGGCTGTTCTGGATTATACAAAATAAAGCCAGGGACTGGGAGATGGCTCAGTGGTCAGAGTGCTGTAAGTCTGTGGACCCTAGCACCCCCGTCAAGGATGGCATACTGGTGTGCATCTATCACCCAGTGTTCAGATAGGCAGATTCTAGGGGCTAGGGGCTAACCGGAGAGTTAGTCTACTGGAAACAGTGAGTGCCAGGTTCAGTGACAGACCCTGTTTGGAAAGAAAACGAAGTGGAGTGTGGCAAGATGGTTCTGCCAGTAAAGGCATCTGAAACCAGCCTGACCTTTGAACTTGATCCTGGGAGCTCACTGGTGGGAGGCAAGAACTGACTCTGCAAGTTGTCCTCTCACCTCCATGAGTGTATGGGCTCAGGCACATACACACACTCAAAACAAATGTAAAGAGTGATAGAAGAAGACTGTTAACAGCAACCTCTGCCCTCCACACATGCAAGAATAGGTGAGTACACATGTATACACACGAATACACTACAATACACTCAATGCACAAACTGAAAAAATGAATAACCCCCCCAAAAAAATTGAATATTAAAACTAAGTAATCTGGGTATGTGATTTTGACTTTTTTTGTACCTCTATAGTTTCTTTTAAAATATTGACTTTGGGTTACTTATCTAACCATATAGTCACTTATTTAACTACACATCACACACACACACACACACACACACACACACACACACACACACACACACCAGCCTAGCAGCCTCTGAGTCCAAACCTGCACTATGAACTGAACTGAAGCCAGTCCTCTCCCTGGATTCTTACTGTTCCTAGCCTCTTACTGGATGGGCACTGTGCCTGCTTTGCTCTTACCAAGGACACGAGGGGTCTCACTGTGGACTCCAGGTACTCAACCACGTCCTGGACAAGCCTTGAGCCATGACTCAACTGATTGAGGTCAAGGGGAGGCTTCAGGCAGCGACTGAACTTCTCCCGTGCAGCAGTGAGGTTCCCAGCTTTGAGGCAGGCCATGCCCCAGGCATGCCACGCCCCTGTGGAATCAAGCCCGGTCTTGGTAGAGACCTGGAGGAAAAAATTGCTCCATCTGTGAGAAGTGTCTACATTCAGGTCTAGGAGTCTTCCCAAGCCATTCTGTTCCTTTGCCCCAACCACCTGCCCACCCTCCACGTGCTGTAATTCTCACACTGGCAAGCTGGTTGTGCCCTGGATGCATCCATGATCCGGACAATGGAGAGATGGCGAGGCCCGTTTCCAAGGCTGAGCAAAGGCCATTCGTGACAGAGGGGGAGGGTAGAAGGATGCTTTATCTTTGCCTCACCTCAACACCCAGTTGGTAGTACTCAGCTTCCAGGAGCTGGTTCCTCAGTCTGGTTACTGCAGCTGGCTGCAAGATCTGGTCTAGAGATGGCACATGACGATAGGCAGCAGTGACTAAGATATGCAGGACGTCTACTTTGCTGATGTAACTACAGGGAGAAAGAGGGCACCGCAAATGAGGCCGTGTGGAGTTCTGGAGCAATCGTTGCTTGAAGGTTCCACACCTTTAGCATCTTCAATGTTAATTGTGATCATGAGACTAGGTACTCCAAAGGTTCTAGAGTCAGACTCTTTTAACCCCACTTCAAACTTAATAGCTCTGAGACCTACCTCAACTCACTCACCTGTTAAGTGGATATAAAGCAGAAATTTTTAAGTATAAAATGAAATGTGTCAAATGAAGAGCTTCGGATAGCGTCTGGAACTTTGGTAGCACTTGTTAGTTTATGTTTGAGTAGGGATGCCCTGGGTTTCTGTCTGAGACAAGGCCTCTACATTGAATACTGGAGCTCACAAGTTACCCATTTGCTTTTGGCTCTTTGGAAACTTACTTGGTTTCAAGAGAATATGGAACAAGAATCATTGACTCAGGCTGGAGAGATGGCTCACCAGTTAGAAACACTGGCTGCTTTTCCAGAGGACCTGGGTTTGGTTTTTAGCACCCACATGATGGCTCACAATCTCCTGTAACTTCAGTTTCAGGGGACCTGACACCATCTTCTGGATTCTGTGGGCACCTGGCACACTTGTGGTACACATACACACACAGACAAACATTCGTGCATATAAAATAAAAATCATTCTTCAGAAACAAAAAACAACACCCACTGACCCACATTCCTGGTCTGGACAGTGGAGCCGGCACCAGCAGAGGTACCTTGGCCCCTTCGAGTCTGGGCTCCTGGACTTCAGATTCTCTCTCTCCCATGCCAAGAGTGGCCTTCCTTATATCCCACTGACAATCTCACTCCTTACCCCTTTGGCAAGCTTACTCCTGATACCCGAGGACTGGAAAAACCTTATCGATACAGAGTCCGGAGGGCTACACCATTCATTTGGCCTGCTGTGGCAAGCTCACACCCACGGTTCCTGGCTCTGTCTCAGAACTACAGCAGAAAACCTGTGGCTCCTGACTCGTCTGCTTAGCAGTTTTCTTGGATTCCACACCTTTAGTGATACGAAAGGACAGTGTGTAAAATCAGATTCGAAGCCATACTATAACTCTCCATTTGGAAAACGAAAACATTTGAACTAGATGATGTGTTTTTTGTTTGTTGGTTTTGAAATACATTCATTTTTATCTGTTTATCCATCAGAAGGGGACATAGTTAAAAACACAATAATTTGGTTTGTATGGTAATATACAGCAGAGAAGAGTCCTCTCCCATGGAGAAAATGACATGAAGTCATCATACAAATGTATGTGAATGTAGGGTGAGGGAGAAAGAAGGTATGATTTCAAGTCAGTGCTGTAAATCGTCCAGGAATCCCACAACTGCTTGCAGGGGTGAGAACTCTGTGGGAGTGAGGGCTTCCTCCATCTCCGCCACCCATAGGGGCCCATGGGGTTAGCAGCCTTGTCTGAGGCTCGAGTGTTAAAAGGTGATGGAGTAGGCCTGTGCTCTGAGCTTGAGGGAGACATTTATGCTTCAAAGCACTCTCTGTCCCTGGCTCCCGAGGCTGTTGGGAACTGGTGCTGGCCTCACTTCGTGAGTCATGTATCTGGGTGGGTAAGGAGGAATTAGGAGTTTTTATTGTCAGGTTAATGAATGGAGTCAAAGCAGGTTGCGCAGGAATCTGAGGGAGAACAGAGGTCTGAGCACCAGTCACATCTTCCCTATTTCCACAGATGACTCACAATCCTACCATGAATCAGGAGCCCACTGCTTCCCCAATTAAAAAAAACAAAACAAAACATTTCTTTCTTCTTGTGTGTGTGTTGGAGCATGCTGGTGCTACAGCATGTGTGTGGAGGGCACAGGGCTTGTGGGAGTTGGTTCTCTCCTTCCACCATGTGGGTCCCAGAGATCAACTTCAGGGAGTGAGGCGTGGTGGCCCCAAAATGTTTTTATAGACTCTTTATCCAGAAGTCCTAGAGGTCACAGTCAAGACTGGGGTGGAGTTCTGTGTAAGGTTAATCACTAAAAACCAGAGAGTTCCACAGACACAAAAGCTACTTCCCTAAATGACTTTAATGACAAATTATCTAGTTAAGGTGTAAGCAGGGAAACCACGTGCTGGCTAGTTTTATGTCAACTGGACAGAAGCTGGATTGATTTGGGAAGAGGGACTCTCAATTGAGAAAATACCTCCAGAAGATGGGCCTAGACAAGTCTGTAGGGTATTTTCTTGACTAATGATTGATGTGGGTGGGCCCAGCTCACTGGGGGAGGTGCCACTCCTGGACAGGTGGTCCTGGGTGGTAGAAGAAAGGATGTGCAGTGTAGTAAGCAGTGTTCCTCTATGGCCTCTGCTTCAGTTCCTGCCTCCAGGTTCCTGCCCTGACTTCCTTCTGGGATGGACTGTGATGTGGAACCGTATGCTGAATAAGCCCTTTCCTCCCAGAATTGCTTTTAGTCATGGTGTTTTGTCATAGTAATAGAACGCAAATGAACACAATCTGTTTTTGAGGGTTTTGAAAAAGAAAAGGACATAGGCTGACAAAGGGCGAGGACAACCAGGTACTTATAGTTCATTAACACCAAAATGAGATGCATTGTTAGAGAGGATGGGAAGATGAAAAGTCATAGTAGGGTCAGAAGAGGAAGCCAGATAAAAACTGCCACCAGGTAGAAGAATGGAGGCTCACCTGGCGGCAGTGGTGCACGCCTTTAATACCAGCACTCGGGAGGCAGAGCCAGGCGGATCTCTGTGAGTTCGAGGCCAGCCTGGTCTACAGACAGAGCGAGATCCAGGACAGGCACAAAAACTACACAGAGAAACACTGTCTCGAAAAACAAAAGAAATAAAGAAAGAAAGGAGGCTCATTCTTATGTACCTGTCACAAAGCGCCAAGTCCTGGCTTTGGCCAGCCTTGACAAACATCATCTTGGCGCTGAAGAGCAGCTGCTTCATGATGTCTATGAGCAGCCCTGCATCCAGCTCTGGGTTGGTGAGGCCCTTGGACAGCTGGCAGCAGTGCTCGATCAGCTGGTGACCGCAGGCAATGCTGTCTCGGTGCAGGTTCAGGATGGCGATGCACAGGGAGGCGCTGGGGGCCTGCTCAGGGCAGGAAGGGAGAACAAGACAGTGAGAGCGTTGTTGAAAAGGCCGCTGTGTGGCAGAAATCACCATTCCCACTTCAAAAGGCTGGAAACCACTGCAGGAAGAAACCGCATAGTCCACAGCAAAGCAGAAGCAGAGCCAGCCACATTTCAGATGCTCAAGGTTTCATTGCCGGAGCTCTGGCTGCTAGGTTTTGTCACACTGTGGAAAGAGGACAGTTATGTCTACGATTCCTACTTCTTTTTTTTGAGACATAGTCTCCACATAGCCATGGCTGTCTGGGAACTCACTTCCTACTTCTTGACAATATCCACAGGTGGCCTCCTTTTTCTGGTCTCCTGTCCCACAATTGCAATCATGCTTGTTCTTTTCAGTGGCTTAGATGACAACAGTCACTCACTTAGCTGAAGTCACCGTTTCAAGTCCTGAACACGCTGCTGCCAGATCAATAACTCTAAAGCATATCTGTAAAATTTCCTAGGTGCTCATGCCTATCAAATAGTCATTTCTTACCTAAGAATTCATAGTTTTATATATAAATAGTCTTTCTCAATCTTACCACATTACCAATACTTCATCAATACTATCTTCTGATGTCCTAATCATGCCCTGTGATTTTTGACTCAGTGCCTTGGCTCAGATATTTTAGTTTAGTTTTGTTGTTGTGGTGGTGTGTATGTGTTTGTGTTGTGGTTATGCATTCGTGTGAAGGTGTGCATATGCACTTGTGTGTGCATGTGTGTGTCAAGGCCAGAGGTTGACATTGGGTATCTTCCTGAATGGCTCTCCATCTTATTTTTTTTGGAGTCAGGGTCTCTCACTGAACCTGGAACTTGTTGATTCAGCTAGAGCTTGCTAGGCAGCAAGCCCCAGGGTTCTGCCTGTCTCTGCCTCCTCAGGGCTGGGACTATATAAGCACATGATGTTGCACTTGGTTTTTTTTTTTTTTTGGTGGATGCTGGGATCCAAACTCAGGTTCTCATGCTTGCATGAGAAGCACTTTACCATTGACTGAGCCATCTCCCCGTTCCCCCACACAGTTCAGTTTGTGCCCTCTCCTTCCCCTACTTTCACCCCCTTGCAATTCCGAATTTCTGCTCACCACACTCTTACCCCTCTTCCTGGTTTCTTCCTGTACATTTCGCGAGATGTTCCTCATATTCTGCCTAACTGGTTTACTTGTTGTAGCTCTCATATAATTGTATAATAAGCAAGCAAGGACCAGGCTGTAGTTAGAACCTCTGTATTCCCTGTTATACTGTTAGACGTCATAAAGAAACTCAAGTGACCATCACATTTTATTGTTATTACCTGCTCATAGTAAAATTCACTCCGAACCAGCTCATTTTCTTCCTCATTTAGACTCAAGATCCATTCCACCTCAGCTGCTTTGGGGACTCTCACCACAGCTGAATATGGAGGGCTTTCATTCTTAGAGCTGTCTGAAACTAAAGAAGGGAGCTGTCAATCACATGTCAGTCACTCGGTGGTCATGCAGACTGACAAGCTGGTGCGTGTCACAGGCAGACATCTACCTGCTGTCTGAGGGTCCCTTTCTCTCTCCTTGGTCCCTTTTCTTTCCTTTTTAAAAGATTTGTTTACTTGTTTGTGTGTGTGCCTGCAGGACTTTATGTGTACCATGTGTCTGCTTGTACCCGCAGAGGCCAGAAGAGGGCATCAGATCTCCTGGAATTAAGAGTTACAGGCAGTTGAGTTACTCAGTTTGGGTGCTGGGAACCAAACCTGGGTCCTCTGCAAGAACAGTAAATGTTCTTAACTGCTAAGACATTTTTCTAGCACCCTCCCCACTTCCCTTTTGTTTTCTTTAAGAAACGCCATTAGATACTTCAGGTCCTCTTCCCCAGGCATAGGTCTGGGATAAATGTCACAGTATTTGTGACATGACTGATGCTTCACACAAGAAACCCTGAAAGATATGGCTCAACCGTTGGCTACTCCAAAAAAACTAACCTGCTGTGGAAAGATATTGGCCAAACTGTTAACAGTGATCATCTGAGGGTAAGGACAAAGAACTGGATGACAGGACAATGGAGGAGGGGAGCGGGCGTGCAGCAGATGGGGTAGCTTACAATAGATAAGCACCGAATTCATTGGTCCTTGGCTTTCCTGGTGCTGGAAGCTAATGGGCCTTGAGAACGGTTAATGTGAAGAATGTCAAGGGAAACAGCGATAGAAAAGCCACCAAGTGGACTGAGGTGCCATATGGCTATCAGCTGAGGCTGGTGCAGTGGCAAGGGAGCCAACTCCTGCCCATACACAGAGCCGCAGAGAATGCAGTCGGGCCTTACCTTCTGACTGGCACGGGCTCTCCTCTGGTGCACTAGAAACACAAAGAAAAACGAAATGCCTCAACCACTGCTTCTCTGCTTTGGCTTAGTGAACGACAGCAACATTTGCTCTATCGGTCACTGATCAGGGGATCAATCACGCATTAACTCTTTCTCTCCCCCACTGGTCACAACCATCTCTTGCCCTGCTCTCTCCACTTTATCTCTTACATAGCCATTTAAATGTCCCCATCTCTCTGTGTCTGAGGGGGACCGCACCATTTTTTTTTTTTTTATTGGCAGTAACTCTCTGATTTTGACTACCTAGCCTCTGCTTGTCGCTGTAGCAAGAGTTCAAGAATTCAAATCTGGTCTCATTCTGCTCCTGCTGAAGAATCCTTCAGAAGCTGCTCAGGTTGAAAGGACTCCACATTCACAGCTGAGGAGAAAGGTCCTTGAGACCTGCCCTGACTATCTCTTTAGCGATCTCCTTTCACCCATGCCCTGTCCTCAAGCTGTGAAGGTCCCCTTGCTCCACCATCAGCTCTGGTCAGCTTCTACTGGTGCCACCAAGGATCAAGTTTAAAATGAGTACAAAGGGCATGCTGGCCAACCTCAGTCCATGATGGCACCAGGGAGCAAGCCCAAGTCTTGTGCCAGTGTTTAGGTCTTCTGGATTCAGCTGCCAGCTTTAATATAGGGTTCGCTGATCAGAACCCTATCCTGCCACCTCCCTACTCACAGCTCCTCAAATGGTCAATTTCTTCTCCTGCCTCTCTCTGCCTTTGATGTGTCTCTCCGACCTCTGGGCATAATGTTTCTTTTTCGCTCTGTTCCTTTTCAGGTTTCTTTCCTACCAACTCCTCATTCTCGAAGACTCATTTCCTGGGGTCCCCTCCAGGAAACTCTCCCGACTATCTGGCCAATCTGTGTGTACAGTCATCACTGTACTTACCCAACCACTTTGTACTGTGTTTATTGGCTGTCTCTCTTTAAAGGGGCTCCTTTAGGGTAATTAACTACTGCAGAGTGACCGCTGGTAAAAGAATCCCCATCAATATTGACTGCTCACTTACAACCCAGTAAGGACGGTGTTTGGGTAACCCCTGTCCTACACCTGACAGAGGAAGGCACAACGTGATAGGTTAGGGTTTCAGGAACTGTACAATGTGTATGGCATGTCTTCCTTCCTATGCAATCAACACTCATTATGGCAAATAATGGCCCACACTGCTAATGAGTAGAAGAAAAAAATCTAGTTAAGTTTGCTAAGTGAAATAAAACATAAGAATCTAAAGCAATATTGCTTTTGTATGGATGATTTCCCCCAGGTGCCCTACGAGCCTTACACTTCCCACTCTCATTGAGAAGTAGTAGGAAAAAATCCAAGTCAGAAAACAACGTCTTCATCCATCTGCCTTGCCAGAAGGAGGGGCAGGTTCTGAAATGTATCTGGAAGTTAACCATATGTAAGAAAGTGTAAGGGCTGGTCTAGGAGTCACCAGCCAGGAGGATTACTCAGTTTAGAGCTGAAGCAAATGAGCCCAAACATTCAGTGGGTGTGGACAGGTCCTGAGTCCAACTGGAGCCACATGAAGCTGGAGTGACCAGGAAGCAGGAGAGGTGGCCGAGTGAGATCGTGACCTCAGTGTGTGGAACAGCCAAGGACCAGAGTGTCTTGGTTTCAGAAAAACCAGCCTGCAAGAACTCTGAACACTTCCTTCTCATCCCTACTTCCCATGCAGAAGCTTCTCTGACAAGGTCATTCTGTAAGCATTTCACAGTACAGTTAACGACGCTGCCAGTGTGCATGTTAAACAACATCTCTGTGAGTGTAACAGGTTCAATACACTGCCCAGTGGGAGTGCCAGGAATGTTAGGACCCTGGGGTGATGACAGCGGTCCAGCCGGCATCAGCCCTGCTGCAGACACTCACTCTTTGTTGTAGTAACCGTAGCACTGGTCACACACGCGTGCAGGGTTTTCTCTGCAGCCGTCCACCACCATTTTCTTAGTGGAGCAGGAACCACACACTAGACGCCCACAGCGGCGACAGTGATGACGCCTGTTAAACTGAGGACAGTCAACGGAAGGAAAGGGGAGGGATGAAAGTGAGATTACTGCCCGTACATGTATACTTGGTTTTTGTCAACCATGCCTTATTAAGAATACCAGGCACTTGGGTTTTCACTGAAAATGAGCTAGTACACTAGCCCTGGTCCTCAAAAAGTCACGTTTAGGGGATTGGGGATTTAGCTTAGTGCACAAAGCCCTGGGTTTGATCCTCAACGCCTCCTCCTTCTGTTGGAGGCCAGCTCTGACCTGTGAAGGGTTCTTTGGGTGGGGAGGAGAGAGGAATGAGGAAGTAATAGTAGAAATACAGACGGAGACAAAGACAGAGACACAGGATAGCTTCGGGAGGGCCCTGGGTTGATATCCAGTCCTCTTGAGATTTATTCTAATGGACCTTTTTATACACTACCAAGGGGACCCCCTTTCAAGATCAAAGCACAACGTACAGCCAAGTGTAGACCCATCCAAACACCTGGTAACCATGCCCCTGGCCAAATCATCCAATTATGCAGCCCTGATGGGCAAAGCAAGCTCAGACTTTCTGACCTTAAGTAAGGCCTTACTAGGGAGCCTCTGTGGGTCCCCACACCCTTCCCCATACACACAAAAGAAAAGAAAAACAAAACAAACAAAAGCCTTCCAAACTGAGGGACAAGTGTTCCAAGTCCTGGGCAGTCTGCCGTCAACGGCTCCTAAGAAGGGCGGCTCCAAAGCAACATTTGGAGACATTCCGAAAAGCAACAGGAGGGTGGGCATGGTCGCTCACACCTATAATCCCACCACTTGGGAGGCTGAGGCAGGAGGATTGCTGAGACTCTGAGGCTACCCTGGGCTAAACAGAGAGTTCTAAGCCAGCCTGAACTATAGCAAAACCCAGGAGGGGACCCCGGAATCCTGCTCTCTTGACCATTTGGCAAAATAACTGCTGAGCTCCTTCTGAATGTGGCCATAGTGCAGGGGACTGGAGACTGGGGAAACGGGGTGCTGAAACAGTGACTGAAGCATAGCTGAGGCCTCCTAGGAGCTCGTGGTCTGTGCGGACAGCGGATCTTCACTGAAAATAGCTAATCTTCATTATTAACAGATTCCACGTTTAGTAAGCCAAATACAAATTTGAAAATTCAGTAAGGAAGAAGAGCTCTGCTTAGCCAGTGAGGATCATGCTTCCATAGCTGATGATGGTAAAGTGAGAAGGCAGCCTTTACCAAGTGGTTTAGGACATTAAAAGTTTAAAGCTTTTTTATAGTTTCATTTATGTGTCTTTGTCTTTGGGTAGGGGGTTGTGCATGTGAGATCGGTGTCCAAAGAGGCTAGAAGAGGGCACAAGATCCCCTAGAACTGGAGTTACAAGAAGTTGTGAGCTGCCTGGTATAGGTGCTAGGAGCTGAACTCAGGTCTTCTGTAAGAACAGCAAGCATTCTTAACCACTGAGCTATCTCTCCAGCATCTATGTATGTATGTATGTATGTATGTATGTATGTATGTATCTACCTATCTATCTATCTAACTAGGCAGTGTCTCTTGTAGCTCAGGCTGGCCCCAAACTCACTACATCACTGAGGATGACCTTGAACTGCTGATCCTCCAGCCTCTACCTCCTGAGTATGGGAGCTATAGATGTGGATCATCACATCCATTTTAAGTGGTACTGGGACTGAACCTGTGGCTTTGTCCATGGTAGGCCATCACTCTACCAAGTGAGCTGCATACAGAGGCCCCTCCAACTATTTTTGTTTTTAAGGAAGTATTGCTTCATTTAATTTCTGGAGGTTGATAATCATTCTGTACTCTTCCATAGATGAAGAGATACAGAGAAATTACATCACTACTGCTGACATCAGTGCTGAACTGATCCTCTAGACAGGTGCTGGTATTAACTGTGCTATCATATGCAATCATATGTAGTTTTAACAGGTCCATGAGCCAACTCACATGTCATCTGTAGCTTATAATAGGCTTATGAGATAAAAATGTTTATAGTCACATTGCTATTAGGAAGTACAGCTGAGGGGGCTGGAGAGATGGCTCAGAGGTTAAGAGCACTGCCTGTTCTTCCAGAGGTCCTGAGTTCATTTCCCAGCAACCACATGGTGGCTTACAACCATCTATAACGAGAGATCTAGTGCCCTCTTCTGACGTGCAGGCATGCATGCAGATAGAACACTGTATACATAAATAAATAAATAAATCTTAAAAAAAAAAAAAGGAAGTAGAGCTGAGGAATTGAGTCTTCTTTCTTCTGAATTAGTATATATAACCCACTACCAGGTCACTGTCTTATTGTGAAAGACCTAGGAACTAAATATGAAATCTCCAAAGACTTGGTGACTCCTGCCTGTCTTTATTATCCAATGAGAATGCCATTTTTATAATTTAATTAATTTATATTTTATAATTTATAATTTAATTAATGCCAGTTTTATAATTTAAGGCTATTTGAGGATGCCTACTTCATAAATGGATCCTGAAAACACACTCAGGTCAGGTCAAAGGTAGATCCAGTCATAGGTTTGGCGATCTGAAAACATCACGGTCCTCTTGGGGACAGGTGACCGTGAACTCAAGCTCACAACCTGGCACTTTGCTTTTCTTTCCCTGGAGTGCTGCTGAGGAAGGATGCTGCTTACCATCGTGAAGTGCTCTCTGCAGCAGACCATACAGGTGCTCTCAGTCTCATCTGGGACCCACTGATCCCTGGCAGGGGGTGCTTCTGGGGGCACAAACTCCAGCAGCGGCTGAGTCTGAGGGGAAGTCCTCTCCTTGGGACTGGGGGAACGGACTAAGGCACTTCCTGGAGTGAGAAGTCAGAGAAAAAAATCTCCTAAGTGAAAGGAAAGACTGAATTTTACGATTTTACAAGGCTCTCCTGGAGTGATCGATCCAGGTGATAATCAGTGGCTGCTTGAGTCACAAAAGAGAGACAGGTGTCATTGTGTGTCCCCCATTGGAAATGTACAGCAAAATCTATCAAATATGATTAATCAAAACCATTAAGCCTTGCGGGGGGCGGGGTGGTGGTGGTGGTGGCGGGGGGCAGTGATGGTTCAGTGGGTAAAAGGTGCTTGCTGACAAACCTCATGGCCTGAGTTTGATCCCCGGGAACCACACTGGAAGAGGGAGAGAGCTGACAAGTGCTACAGCGTATCATTTAATCATTTAACAATGAAAAGAAATGCAACTTACAAAACACTAAGCCCACACTGAGCTAAGCCTTAGATCTCACTACCAGTGCACTGGAAACTTAGGGGCACAGACCCTTATTGTCATAAAAGGAAGTCAGCAAAGTCTAGCGTGTGGGCCAGGGGTGGTGGCGCACACCTGTGATCCCAGCACTTAGGAGACAGATGCAGACTGAACTCTGAGTGCGAGGCCAGCCTGGTCTACAGAGTGAGTTCCAGGACAGCCTGGGCTGCAAAGAGAAACTCTGTCTCAAAAAAAAAAAAAAAGAAATCCAGCACTTGGGATAAATGGCCTAGTTTCTTTCATAAAGAGGTGGGGCTGACCAATTAATTAAAACAGATGTGAGATACTTTAGCCAAATGTCACGTGTGGATGTTATTTGGAACTGGATTTAGAATCAAAACAACTGTAAACAAACAAACAACAGGATGTGACAACTGAGGATATTTCAATATTGACTAGATATTTGATAACAATCATTTTTAATTTGAGTTGAGGTCCAATAATAGCATTGTGGTTTGATTTTTTTAAAAGATTTTATTTTATTTCACATTATGTGTGTGTCTATGTGTGGGTATACACACATGTGAGTGCAGGTGCCTACAGAATCCAGAAGGGGGTGCTAACTCCCCTGCAGCTGGAGTTACCACCAGTTGTGAGTCACCCAGTGTGGGTTCTGGGAACTGAGCTTGGGTCTTTTGCAACAGGAGTCCATGCTCTCAGCAGCTCAGCCATCTCTCCAGCTCTCAATGGTTTATACTGTAAAAGCATTTGCCTTTTGGGAATTTATAACAGCATACTTACAAGTGAAATAATGTATATCTGAGATCTTTTTGAAAACAACCCATTAGAAGGATAGGCACACAGACGAAACAAGAACACACACACACACACACACACACACACACACACACACACACACACACACACACCAAAGCTGCTCGAGTTGCCTCAAAGCTGTTTAAATACCCAGGGTCTGGGCCCTCCCTTCAGGCCTACAGGTTATTGTGAAGCATGGCCAGGAAACGGCAGGGTTTTTGCTTTACGGTATCTAAGATTTCTATTGTCTAGAAGAGCAATTTCACCACCCATAGAAACTGAGGAGAGCTGAAAACAGTGCTTCTTAGCAGTGCCCAGAGTCCTGCTCTCTTCACTGTTCGGCAAAACAACTGCTGAGCCTTTTCTAAATAAGGGTCATCGTGCAGCAGGCTGGAGACTGGGAAAGAAGGGTGAGGTGGAAAGGTGACAAAGCCTAATTCAGGCCTCCAAGGAGGCCTGTTGTGCGGACACCAGAATTTTCATGAGGGCTAACTATAGCTAATCCTCCTCAGTAACAGATTCCACATTTATAATGTTTCTAGTCACCTAATGTGCAACCTCAGAATCAATACTCTTGTGCTGGCTAGTTTTGTCAACTCGGCACAAACTAGAGTCACATGGGAAGAGGGACGGTCCCTCAATTAAAGAACTGCCTCCCTTAGACTGCCTGTGGGCACGTCTGTAGGGTCTTTTCTGGATTAATGATTGGGGTGTGTGTGTGTGTGTGTGTGTATGTATGTGTGTGTGTGTGTGTGCAGTCCAGCCCACTGTGCCACCCTTGGGCATATGGTCCTGGGCTGTATCAGAAAGCAAGCTGAGTAGGCCATGGAGAGCAAGCCAGTAAGCAGTGTTCTCCATGGTCTCTGCTTCAGTTCCTGGTCTAACTTCCCTCAGTGATGACCTGCTACCTGGAAGTGTAAGATAAAGGAAACCCCTTCCTTCCTTCTCAAGCTGCTTTTGGTAAGTATTTTACGGCAGTCTCAGAAGCAAACTAAGACAACTCAAAATCAATGCTCCCTCGGCGATTACAGCTACTTGTGGGCATGTCTGGACTGGAGAGAGTTTTCAGTCACCCACCATTCAGGTTCTCAGTAGAGGCTGACTAAGGTGACATTCTTTCCTCTTGTCTCAGCTCTCAGGAGGTGGTGACAAGAGTATGGAAATAGTGGGGGGCAGGGTAGGGCTGGGCAAGCAACTCTGGTTCCATACAGACGGACAGATTTTGAATTCCGACTTGGGTACTTGTCAGCGAGGCAAGTCACTTCTGAGCCTCTTTTGTGAGGCAGAGAACATAGAATCTACTAGGGTGAGTTACTTTGTTAGATTTTAATAAGATAATCTATGTAGGGTGTGTGTGTGTGTGTGTGTGTGTGTGTGTGTGCGTGTGTGTGTGTGTGTGTGTGTGTGTGTGTGTGTGTGTATACATGCCCATATGCATAGTTTCCTCCTCTTGGAGTAACATCTCAGGGCTCACTGATTCAGTGTTTGCAGAGACTTTTATAGACCCATTGTCACAGATAATGAGTCATCTGTATGCTGAATCTACTAAAAAAAGTAAAAAAGTGGAGTAAATTATGAAAAAAAAAAAGAAGAATTTCTTAAGTGGGAATAGAGAAAGAGTGAAAGCACGAGGTGGTCAGAATAAGACGTTCTTACCAGGAGCAGCAGCAGCAGCAGAGAACTCAGCTGATGATGATCTAGACAGGGTCTCAGAATCTGAGGTTTGGTGGACAAGTTCCTGGAGGTGAATCACAGAATCTGTGGAAAGAGAAAGAGCTGGTCTACCACAAGCATCTTTATTCCCATGCTATACATTTAGTGCAAGCCTCTGTTGACTTTGTTGATTGTGGCATCATGATTACATTAAATATAAACAGAATGGTAAAAGAACTTCTAAGCTGGCTGGGCGGTGGCAATCTCAGCACTCAGGAGGCAGAGACAGGCAGATCTCTGTGAGTTTGAGGCCAGCCTGGTCTACAGAGCAAGTTCCAGGAGAGTCAGGGCTACACAGAGAAACCCCGTCTCAAAAAACCAAAACCAAAGCCAAAGCCAAAAAAAGAACAAACAAACAAACAAAAACTCTTCTAAGGCAAAGATGTACGCTTTTTAAATTTCACAAAAAGCAAACAAAACCATCAAGCCATGTTTGAGGCACACGTGACAACCATCAAGCCATGTTTGAGGCACACGTGACAACCATCAAGCCATGTTTGAGGCACACGTGACAACCATCAAGCCATGTTTGAGGCACATGTGACAACGGAGCAGATTTTTCAATAAATTTAAAAATGCCCAGAGAGAGCGGAAGACGCTTAAATAAATGATGCCCCTGGAGGATAGGAAGGCAGCCAGGAGCATCATCTAGTATTTTTTCTTCATTCTAGAAGAAGTTAAATCAGCTCCCAGACAACTGATGTCTGCCGTGACCCTGGAAATGAAGCATACCCCACTAAAAATGAGAGCACTTAGGAGCCCACTGTCAAAGCCAGGCACATTTTTCCAGCAACGTCTCGTTTTCAACCCCTATGTGTTATCATGCACACAGTGTTTGAGCCTTCTCCTCAGATCCAGATCTTGCCTAAATAACAAAGAGCTGTATCTCCCTTTCAGTCAGTAAGGAGAGAAGATTGAACCCAAGGGTAGCGTGGCATTTCTTCTGAAGTGTAGAAGTGCTGTCTAGCACGCAGCCGGTCACCTGATCGCTTTTCCCTCAGAGGGTACGGGAGGTCCAGGGCTTTCCCTGCATATCTGGAGAGCAAGGAGTCAACCTCGTCCAGGGTGAAGCTCATCTCCTGTCCGGCCAGCAGCTGGTGCAGAGTCTGCACGGCCACGGTGGCCCAGTCCACCTTCATGTTCATCAGCAGCTGCTCCAGCATGAGCAGGGGGCTGGAGGACAAGTGGGCACAGCTGGCCCGGTGCTGCTCAGGCAGAGTCAGGAGAACCTGTGTGCAGGGTAGAGCGAAGAAAATCATACACACATTTCAGGAGAGGCTTGCTTGCAGGGAAGTGAAAGGGTTACAGAGACAGAGCCCTATTGCGGCCCCGCTAAGGGTCATTTGGGAAGCAAGGTTGAGCTTCTGAGTCCTCTGGGTGGCAACGGAGACGTGTCCTAGGACCTTTACCTAGACAAGGGGTTGCTAATCTTTTTCTGTAAGGGGTAAGAGAGTAGATATGTTAGACTTTAGGACCTAAAACCTACTCAGCATGAACAGTCAATGTAGCATGGAAGCAAGCACGGGCAAATGGATATATGAATGGATGTGTTCTGTGTCAACACAACTTGACTTAAAAAACAGGCTGAGGTCTAGGCCTGGCCTACAGGTGGTCACCAGCTGACCCCCTGGCCTAGACCCTCCAGGCATCGTTGGGCTTTGCCTAACCCATGCTATCATTCTATGTGAGGTTTTAGTTAGAACGAACAATACTAGGTGACGTTAGTAGGGTGCCCGATCCTGGCAGCTCCAGCATCCTAATAAAAGGAAGACCTAAATGCCCTTTAGCGGTCGGTCACGAGGGTTGAGACGGGGTCACTGGTTCTGTTCTGCTGACTACCATTTCCCCATTTCCCCTCAACTAATTAAGTGACATGAATAAAAAAGAAGAGCTTAACGTGGTGGATGGCGCCTGACACCCCAGCATACGGAAGGTGGAGGCAGAAGGATCGGGAACAGCCTGGGCTACATGTGACTGGGCCACCAAAAACAAATGGACAGATAGCCAAAACCTAACAACCCCAAAATTGACACACACACACACACACACACACACACAAAAAAAAAAAAAAAAACAGAAAGAAAAAAAATGAAAAGGAAAAACCATCTCCTGAGGGCTGTGCCATGGCACTCTTGGCACTTGTTCATTTTGTGGGCAGTATATATGAAAAGTCAGAATTAGAAAAGAGTTGATGGTCCCATTGTCTCTCCAAACCCCGGGTGACTGGATTAATGAGTCTTGTTTGTAATATCTTCTATTGGTGTCTCTAACCTATTTTCTCATTTAATTGTTGAGACAAATAACCCTCTTCCATGAGTATAGACTATCATGCAGTACTATCATACAATTTGTGTGTGTGTGTGTGTGTGTGTGTGTGTGTGTGTGTACCTGCTTGTCTATGATGCACCATATGCATGCAGTGCCTGTGGAGGCCAGAAGAGGGCATCCAATCCCTTGGAACAACTCGTAGTTGTGCGCAGCCTCACAGGGATGCTGGGAACTGAACCCAGGTCCTTCGTAAGAGCAGCCAATGCTCTTAATCACTGAGCCATCTCTGAGCCCCTCAAGTAGTAGTTTTAAATCCTTACATCCAAATTCTTTTGGAAGAGAACTAGTCCCTGTCCCATGACCACTTTTAATTGGTCTGGTGTGCACGTCAACTACCAATATTTTTTTTAAAAGGCCAGTGATCCTAATACTTGGTCAGGCTTGAGGAAACAGTGATACAGCACGTGCCATAGAAAGCCTGAGGACAGCCTGAGATGACCGGGCAAATCTCTCCTTGGAGGAAGTGCAGAAAGACTATGACAAGTCCTGGAACACTCACTTAGGACACGGTGAGCTGCCAGGTTAAGTGTTTATACAGCACAGGCCAAGGGTGGCAGGCAGGCGCCTGGCACCAGAGCCTATACATGGACAGATTCTGAAGCGAAGTGAGGCCAGCGATCCCCGCTTCAAACATCATTGTCTCCAACCCCTTTCCTCACCTTAGATCCCATGTACAGCGCCTGGATTTCATGGTGTCGGTTGGTGGTCAGCTCTCCGTAGAAGTGGGAGGTGAGGTAGTTGGCCAAAAAGTGTGAAGTGGTTAAGCTAGGGTGCTGGTCAAGGGACCTCTCTGTGACCTCAAGGCACATGGTGCGATCAGGGATGCGTTGCAGGAGCTGCAGCAGAGGGTAGGGAAGGAGGTGAGCCCTGCAGAACTCTCAGGCCAGCCTTGTTTGGTGGGAGAAGATAACATTTAGGTTCATTTATTTGGGGCTAATTATCTTTCTCCACTCATTTGTTGTCATCCCCATACTTTACCAATGCGCTGTGGCTTTGACAGGACCCAGATGCTCCATCTGGCACTAAGGTAGACCTAGGTACCTAGCTTAAAATGAGTGTAAGTGGATCCTGCAGCCTGGAAGGGGGAGGTCTGCAATCGCCAAGACTTTGCATAGGATTCAGGAGGAAAGAAGGCACATGAGAAGACTAGCCCCGCCCCTCCCCTGATGAAAACCGTAGAGACTCAGAGCTTACTTGAAGAGCTTTTTCATGATCTCTTCTTTCTAGCAGGTGGAGAAGATGTTTGTGGTGCAGACTGATCAAATGTTCCCTTGGAATGGAGTACAGACGGCCCCACTCCTCACATAGTTCATACTCCTGGAAGGAAACACACGCTGTCAATCAACTCCTTTCAATTATTAATGGTCGGGGCTGAGAGTTGGTTCAGCAGTAAGAGTACTGTTCCTCTTCGAGAGGACTTAGGTTCAATTCCCAGCACTTACGTGGCAGATCACAAGATTCCAGGTACCCTCACACAGACATACATGAAGGCAAAACATCAATGCACATAAAATAAAAATAAATAAATCTTTAAAATAATTAAAAAAAATTTTTTTGAGACAGAGTTTCTCTGTGTAGCTTTGGAGCCTGTCCTGGAACTTGCTCTGTAGACCAGGCTGGCCTCGAACTCACAGAGATCCAAAAGGTGTGTTCCACTACTGCCCAGCTTAACATTCTTTTTGTTGTTGTTGTTCCTGTTCCTGTTTTTTGAGACAGGGTCTCTCTCTCATGTAGCCCTGGCTGTCCTGGAATTCACTCTGTAGACCAGGCTGGCCTTGAACTCGAATAGATCCACCTGCCTCTGTCTCCTGAGTGATGGGATTAAAGGTGTGTGCCCCCATATCCAGCGTGATAACATTGTCTAGGATCCCTCTCTATGCCTCTGTCCTGGTCTGCCTTCTTGGTCAGGTGCCCTGTCTGACTCTGGGCTAAGTTCTGTCACTTGATATTTTATATCAGAATCACCTCAGATACACCTTACATTGCCTTTCCCCCTAAAATGTGAGTCACTCAAGGGCAACAACTAAGCTTAATTATCTTTGTCTCATTTAGCACAGTGCCCACCAACATTCGAAATGTTTCCTGAATGAATGACAGTTCGAATGAGCCTCTACATTTTGAATTATGATGCATCGGCTTCTTAAAAGGCAGATACATTTCTATTAGTGCCAAAATGGACAAAAAACACAGGAAAGAGATTCTCACTAATGACCAATCATGGAAATGCAACTTGGATCAATAAGAAACCACCTTACTGGCGTGCGCGCCCACACACACACACACACACACACACACACACACACACACACACACACTGGACAGTAGAAAGAGTTGGCAAGGACATGGAGTAATTGGAAGTAGAAGTGAGAATTGACATCTGATTTGATGAGACTTGATCCTAGCAAAAAGGGATGCTCATGATGAACAGCAATTCCATGTGCAGGAACATTCCACTCACAGTGTAGAAAATCTCACACAAGAATGCCATGGTGATGGTATTATTCTATCTTCCTGTATTTTGGCAAATCTCACAATTAAAAGAAGGAAAGTTTATACTGTAGTTATAAAAACCTGTGGATATTGATACCTGCAAAGGACTCTACCCACACAACCAGCTAAGGAGCTAATACAGTTCAGGAAGGAAGATAAACCAATCCTGGAAAATGTTACCTGTGCTTCCAGAATCATGTTCATGACAGACAATGGGTCTTCGGTACAGCAGCTCCTCAGGGTCTGCCAGTCACACCATACTGGGGGATCCTGCAAACCTAGAACCTAAGGAAAGACAGGCAAACCCATAAACCACCTGGCAACTTCTCCCTCCGCGAACAAGTCATCCGTACATCCACGGAAGCGCCATCCCTCGAGCTCTGCCCCAGAGCCAAGCTGTCTGAACTTTCCAGGAAAGTGGGGGAAGAAAACAGAAGGGTAAAGGTTGTTTGGTGACAATAAACCTCTTCAGAAGTAAAATTGGGGGAAAGTCTGACCGGCAGCTAGGACAGAAGTTCTCACTGGTGAGGACAGTTCGCAGAGGCTCAAAGCCTGTCCCGCCTCCTGAGGTCCCACCTCAGCGCTCTACCCAAGGAGTTCTTCCAGCCTGAATGTTCCGTGAATCATCTTTCCCACAGCATTTTAGCTTAGTATGAAAACTGTTCGAGAGGCACAGAAAGGAAACCTTCCCCTCACTGTGCTCACCTTGCCTGGTGAGCCTCAGGCTCTGCTCCAGGCCACGGGGGAAGGCTCGCATACATTGTACACTGGTGAGGCAGCCAGACCTCCCAAGTCTGTCTCCCTGAGCCTCATCAGCTTGCATAACACAAGTCCCACAAGAATCTTTCACTGTTGAAAGATTCAAAACAGCTCTGGAAATTTAGCTGAGCTTTAGAATAATCTCTAAGAACAGACACGATGAAAGGATTTACACAAAGCTCAATCCATGCATGTGAAAATACCTTTGTGAACTGTGCAGCAGCATCCCAATGTTAATTTTATTGCTATCCTTCCTCGATGCAAATGTATTTAAAACAGTAAGAGTAATAACTCAGAGTTAGATAAAAGGTCTCCCTTCATTCATGTAAGAACCTGATGCAGAGGAAAAGCCCAGCCTACATTTTCTGTTTCTTACAATAGCCCATCATAAGAGAACGGGCTGCGGGGACGGCGGGTAAGAGGCGCGCCTTCCACTCTTGTCGCCACAGCCTGTACCTTCTGATAGACCCGCAGCTCCGTCAGCTTCCTCTGCAGCTCAGATTTTAGTTCTCCTTCGACAGCCATGTCTGAAACACAGTAGGCCAGGATCTCCAGGCATGACTCCAGGGGCCACCTGTCCACACACCGTAGGGCCAGCTGACTTCTCAGAGACGCATCCTTCACAGGAAACAGGTATTGCCAACCTTCTTCGTCTATAGGACAAAACAATGCTCAGCAAGCCCGCCCTGAAGGAGCTTAAAGACCCCCAATTACTTAAGAGGGCTTTGTTCTATCTTATGACCCAGGAGCTTGCAAGGGGTGGGGGGGAGGAAGGGAAGAGGGGGCAATCCATGTGACTATAACTAGGTCTTATACCTGGTATATTACATGACAGGAAGAAACCCTCTACTCCTAGTACCTCTTTACGCAAACCTATCACAGGCATAGTACTTTCTGAAGGAAGAGAAGGAGGGAAGGACAAAGGAGAGGAAGGGAGGGGAGACAGGGATGCTTCCCACATTTTTTCCTGCTGCACACTAGTACCCTTGCAAACTCATCTTGTCAGTAAAGCTTGAGTGTTCCCTGCAGAATTTCCACTCTGCATCCTATATAAAAGTTATTGGAGTAAATGAGCCTCATTCCCTAAATATCCTGTCACTAGGTGGCTCTCTCTCTCTCTTTCCCACACCCATTCATAAATCTGATCTTGGAGACACAAAAAGATAGAGCCCAAGCAATTACTATCATACAGTTCTTTTCCTGAATTTCTTAACCTTCTTGGGGGCGTTCTCCTTTCAAAGGGCGGCTCGGCCTCTACTACAAAGCTGCCCTGTACCGTACATCTGGCTTTTGCTCTCTCTAGTGGAGGAGTATGGCTCATTGATTTTCTATTTTGATTATACATGAGAATCTCGTGTGTGTGTGTGTGTGTGTGTGTGTGTGTGTGTGTGTGTGTGTATATACACTTGGAGGTCAGAGGTTGACGTTGGGTATCTTCTATTGATCTCTACCACAGCTTTAAAAAAATCTTATTATAGTGTGTGTGGTATGTGTGTATGTTAGTGCAGTTGCACACACGCCATGGTGGAAATCAGCCTTGGGAGTTGGCTCTTTCCTACTTTTCTGTTGGTTCTGGGGATCAAACTGAGCTCACCAGGCTTTGTGTGGCAAGCACTTTTAGCAGCTGAACCATCTTACTAGCCTCAGACCTTATTTTTTGAGACAGTGTCTTTCACTGACTTGGAACACCCTGTTGGGCTTGGCCTGCTGGCCAGTTAGTCCCCAGGATCTACTTGTCTCTGTCTCCCAAGTACTGGGGTTACAAACGTGTGCTGGACCACACCTGGCTCTTCCGTGGATGCTGCGGATCCAAACTCAGGTCCTCATGCTTGAGCAGCAAGCACTTTGCCCACCCTGCCATCTCCCTAGCCCCTTGTTTTGTTTTGAGACAGGCTGGCCTCAAACTTCCTATCCTCCTGCCTCAAATTCCCAAGTGCTGGGCTATAAGCAATGACCACCAGGCCAGCTCAGGTTCATTAGCATGTGGATGTTCCAGTCCTTTATGCTGTCCTGGCAGAATGGCCTAGCTGGAACAAAGGTCATGTGACCTATAAAGTACTCTGCAGAAAAAGACTGCTAACTTCTCTTCTACAGTTACCACTTAATTGAACTCCATCCTGGACTTCTGAAGGCAGGACCCAGATTGTCATTTATACATCTGACAATCGTTCTGATACGCAGGATTGGAAAGGTTGAAACTAGTTCTAGACACCCATTCTAAGTCACACAGGCTTGGGTTCTCGAATCCACTCTACTCACGATCCCGGGTAAATTTTTTAACCCCGCTGATCTTTAGTCTAGTCCCAGGAAAGTGAGATTACGGTGACACAGTCACTCTCCCTAGAGCTCCTGTGAAGACTAAATGTGCTCCTGACACAGTGAGGGAGGTGGAGCGCTCTGCTTACCACATGCTGTAGCACAGCTCAGCACCGCATCCCTCACACTGCTCAGGTCGTCCAGGTCTCGCCCATACACTTCAATAAGCTGAAGGGCCCGTGGCCAATCTCTGGCCACCAAAGCTGCCTCAAAGGCCTCAGTTAGTACATCCAGGGCCACAGGAGAATGCAGGCCCAGAAGTACAGTGGAGAGACTGGCCTGTCCACAGAGACTGGCTGCTAGACCCTGTCCCGGCTCGGAGGCTTGGCGTAGAGGCCCCCAGGCAGCCAGGAGGGCAGCCTCAAACACAGGAAACTGTTCCAGAAGGTGCTCACATTCCTGGACTACCTTCTCTGCAGTCAGAGGTGCCTCCCTGCGGCCACGCAATTCCTTCCAAGACAGGCTAGGCTTGCTGACCTTTGTCCCTCGGGAGGCCCGCAGGCAGGCCACTGTGGCCAGTATCTTTGAGCGAGACTTAAGGAAGGCCAAGGCAGAGGAGGTGAAGGCTGGGAGGGAGGAGTCCTTTGGGGAGGAACAAGACTTTCTCTCTGATGAGGGGTTCTTGCTTGGTCTAGGGGAGTCCAGCACAGAGAGGGGCAGGCCATCCAGAAGGTGAGAGGCGTGCTCCTGAGCCAGCATGCCCAGCTGGGTCAGGAGGGATGAGGCCTGCTGGCTTTGTCGAGAAGGGCAGAGAGTAAGGGGCTCACAGCAGCAGCTGACAATGACCTGGGGCACACTTAGGCTGAGACCTTCTTGGGCAAGAAGGGCTGCCAACCTGGAGGAAAAGAAGCAGAAGACATGTGAGGCCTGAACACATAGGCACCATTCGCAATCTTACAAATGCATTCATTCATTCATTCATTCATTCATTCTAGACCAGGTCATGCTGTGTAGTCCTGGCCGGCCTCAAACTTATTGCCTTTACCTCCCAAGTGCTGGGCTTCAGGCAGGTGTCTTCACATAGCAAAGAGAAATAAAGGCAGTTAATCATTCTCTTTGAAGAATAATATAACAGGCAGTTCACCAGACATACTACTTAGCCTCATATCACTTCATAATCTGAGAGATCTGTCCACAGCCCTCTATAGGGAGGTGATTTTTCTATAAGTATAAAGTATTATATAACATAATTTATCCCATCTTAGCAGATCATGGAGCCTTCTGGTCTATTGCACATGGAACCACTTTTCATCTGTACAACCAAGAGTCAGGATAAATTTCCCTACATGGATTGCTAAAAGCATGTTAAAAAGCCCTATCAATTTGTTTAATTTTTTTTTTTTTTTTTTTTTTTTGAGCCAAGGTTTCTCTGTGAAGTCCTGGCTATGCTAGAACTCACTTTGTAGACCAGGCTGGCCTCAAACTCAGAGATCCACCTGCCTCTGCCTCCCAAGTGCTGGGATTAAAGGGGTGCCCCACCTCTGCCTACAAATCGCATACAAAATAATAGATTTAATTATGGTGTTTTTATAGTTTATTTTGTAGACCATCCTCTTTGACTTGTCTTCTCTATCTGTTGATTCCCAACCCTTTCAACTTTAGTAGTCCCCTCCCTCCTCTTCCTCTCTCCTCCTCCTCCTCTTCTTCTTTTTGGTTTTTCAAGACAGGGTTTCTCTGTATATCCCTGGCTGTCCTGGAACTCACTCTGAAGACCAGGTTGGCCTCGAACTCAGAGGTTTTTTCTGCCTCTGCCTCCCGAGTGCTGGGATTAAAGGCCCATCACAGTGCACCATCACTGGTACAACTGCCCCCCAACCTCTTCTTCCCACCTTGTCCCCTTTCTAGTTTTATGATCTACGATCATACGTATATACTATTACCTATAACACACACACACACACACACTTTAAAAGCTAGGATCTGTACATGGAGAGAATATGTTGCATTTGTCTGAATCTGTGTTGTCTCATTTAAATATGATAATCTGAGATTCATCCATTTTCCTGCAAATTTCATTTTTCTTTACAGACAATTAGCTTCCATTGTGTACATGTAGCACATTTTCATGGTCCATTCACCTCTTGATGAATACCTCAACTGATTTCATTTCCCTGTTTTTGTGAATAGGTTAGCAACAAACACCACACTGTAAGTCTCTCTGTGGGGGGATAGAGAGCGCTCTATGCACGGGAGTGGTGTAGAGAGGTCATATGGCAGTCCCATTTTTAGCTCTTGGAGAAACCTCCACATTGATTTCCATAGTGGCTGTACCAGTTTATCCTCCCACCAGACTGAATAGGACTCCTGTCTTCCCACATGCTCACCAGAATTTGTTGTCATTTAGTAGATAGTAGACTAGGGTGAGATGGACCCTCAAAGGAGTTCCAATTTACTATTCCCTGATGGTTAAGGATGCTGACTACTTTTACAAATATTTATTGGTCATTTGTGATCAATTTGTACTGAGAAGATGATTTGTCATGGGAGTTACAGCAACTTTTATACCTTACCAGCAATGCCTGTGCATGCTATTTTTCTATAGCCTACATGGCCATTGTTGCTGAACCTCTGGCTATTGCTCATCTGTGAGTGAAGATTCACCATTAGCCTCCTACCTATAACACACACTAGCAGTGGCAAGAGGACAAAGAAAAGAAGCATGTTGAATTTTTTTTTCTTTTGTTTTTTCGAGACAGGGTTTTGCTGTGTGGCTTTGGAGCATGTTGAATTTTAACATACTATAAAAGAGTAAAAGCACCATTGGTGATGTCTACCTGTCTGGAGGAACTTGTCTCTCAAGCAGAAGATGGGACACCAGTTGGGAAGAGCTCTGTTGCAGGAGAACAAAGGGATTTCCAACCTTGACCTCCACGTTATCTGAGAAAGGAAAGAAAGGATCTTTGTTTGTCCTGCTGGGTTGCAACCGTTCAGGGCTGTCTCAGAGAATGGATTAGTCACATTGTGAATGGCAATGATGACAACATGAAGATCCCTTCTGTGGACTCACAGTAGGTTAAAGGTATTCCCAACGTGACCCTGGATACCAGTTTAGTTACATCTTACAGTGCTAAAGACTTCCAACCCAGCAAACTTCAGTGCCGTCTAACTACAGACAACATGCAGCTCTCACTCCAACCTGACTGAAATTGAAGTAGACAGTTTGAGCATCCTGTCTCCGCAACACTTGGGACTAGATGTGTTTCGGCTCCTGGAATGTTTGCATGCACAGATTAGGGTATCGTGGGATAGGATCTAAGTCTACACACTGATGTTTCATTTACATCTTATATACAGAACCCAAAGGTAAGATTAGATAGTATTTTCATATATCTGTATTTTAACTATGAACTGTCAAATCATTTATGGCATCAGGTTGGTGGTTAAAAAGGTTTGGGATCTGGAAAAATTTAAGACTTCAGATTTTTTATCCATATACCTGGAACTTGCTAAGAACTCAAAGAATCTGGGACTCATGTCAAAAGCTTGATTTTTCTGCTGGACTCTCAAATCTATGGTAGAGCCCAGGTCTTACAGAATTTTTGTTCTGTTTTGTTACAGGGTATTACACAGCCCAGGCTGGCCTGGAACTTCTGATCCTTCTGCCTCTGCCCCCTGAGTGTGGGGATTATAGGTGTGCACCACCACACCTGGCTTCAAGGACGTTTTTGAGGCACCAATTCCATGAAATGTTATTGAGGACTTCCATGTGCTGTATAATTTTACTTAACACAAAGATGCAAAAGATAGACAGTTGGGTAAGAGAATGCTACAAGTCTGGTACCCTTAGTTATTGTGTACCTAGAGTGAGCCCAGCACGCCCTCTCTTCCTTTCCCTAAACAACTGCCTGATGACTCCATATTGTTCCCACTACTTACCAGGGTCGGAGCTCAAACTCCGAAGAAGGACCGCAGCCAGGGTGCTGCAGTAGCTGAAGAAGGTTCCCACATAGTCAGCCTGCCCGCTGCCTGCCAGCACCTGCTTCCCCAGGGTCTTCTGGAGGAGCTGACTTTGGATGTGCACAGGGTGGGCCTCTGCCTCGGGGGCCTTCTGGGCCGCCTGCTCCACTAGGGAAGTGAGTGGAGTACTCTTGGGCTCTGAGGGGAATGAGGGTGGGAGAAGAGACACGGCTTTAGCCTCTGCTTCTAGCTTTGGGTTAATTTCTAAAATTAAATATTTATTTTATTTTTTATTTTTATATAGGTGCATGTGTATGTGGATTTGGGGTTCCTACAGAGGCCTGAAGATGTAGGACCCACTGGAGCTAGAATTATAGTTGTTTGTGAGCTACTCAGTGTGGCTAAAAAAACTAAATTTGGGTCTCTAGAAGTGCAGCAAGTAGTCTTAACCACTAAGCCATCACTCTGGCCCCTCAGTTTTGGGTCAACTTCTGACCCAGTGTGTAAACTGAGCTTCCTACAGAGTGCACTGGGTGTCTATAGGACATAGGTGACTATGTGAGCCCCACACTTAGAAGGTGGACAGACAAAACAAAACCACGTGGGCAAGCGATCTCAGCCAGGAAGAACCTGGAGTCTAGAGCCATCAGACTATGTAGTTGTTTTACCCTGTTGTCTCTGGGGTGAAGCAGCCTTATGAAGAACACTTTCGGGGAGGGTTGACCAATACCAACTAACTACCAGCTGGGTATATTTCTCACCAGCAGTGAAAAAAATGTACCTGCTAGCCAGAGTGTTAAGTATCCTTTCAATTGAGAGTTGGGGAAGAGGGGAGTGTGCTTCTGAATGTGCCTTGCTTAGCTACAAAAGGCTGACCAAGCCCAGCTCCAGAGTGCAGAGCCTCTGCTCCAAAATGCTCATACATCTTCGGCTGTATCACCTCCCATGCTCAGTTCTGTTTATCTGTCTCCGTTCAGGCAGACCTGTACCTGGTAGTGCTAGTGCCTCTCGCAGTGACTGGAGAGCCTGATCCAGTTGCTGGGAAAGGCTGGTCTGGCTGGCCACACAGTCCTCGGTGAGGCTGGGCCAGCATGTCTGAAGCAGCTCGGAGATGCTGCACCGTGGGGCGCCTCCTCCCCTTTCTTCTAGAGTGTCTATGGAAAACATGCGAGAAAGGAAGAGGAAAACAAGGTCTGCTGACCCACTGTTCCAAGTCCAGAGAAGAACAAAAGTGGAAGACAGGGTGGTGTAGTAAAGCATCTCACCAGTTTTCGCTTGTCCCGTTAAGGTAAGTGGATAATTGAGAATCTTATTAATTTGCTGAAGGACAACAGGAAAGCCTCGAATACCATCGGGATGGAGGACAACCTGGTCTAGGCGTCGACCTGAAATAGAAGAAGGAAGGGGGACGCTGGAAGAAATGGATTTCCAGAGGCGGATGCCCAGCTCCTCGTGTAACTTGATCTTTTCTAAGAGTAAGTGTGGGGTACACACTGTCATTTTGGGTGACAACAAGCAGAGCTGGTGTATGCCATGCTTGAGGTTCCAGGACTGCCTCAGCTGTCAATGGCAGACTCAGAATCTCTGGCATTTCTGTGGCATTTGTTGACCACAAATGGGTGGTCACTTGCTGTGGATTTATTTGCCTTCCGACTGTCTTCAGCCATGGACTTGAGCTGGAATCAGATTTCTATTTTCCAATCGCCCCAGGAGATCATCATACTTCATACTTCCATACCTGATTCCTCTAGGCCAGTGGTTCCCAACCTTCCTCACGCTGCGACCTTTTAACACAGCTCCTCATGTTAGGCCAATGCTAGAGATGTTTCTAGCATCAATTTAGACCTCTAACCTTAAAACTAATTCATTGCTATGTCATAACTGTAATTTTGCTGCTGTTATAAATTATAATGTAAATGTCTGTGTTTTCTGATGGTCTTAGGCGACCCCTGTGAAAGGGTTGTGTGATCACAAAGGGGTTGTGACCCACAGGTTGAGAACCTCAGCTCCTAGGACATTTCCCTTTACCCTGGTTTGCAGAGTCATGGCAGTCCCAGGCAAGGGTCAAGGCCTTCACCCAGGAGGGGATTGCAGTATAATGGCACTCATTCACTTGTCCCTTGGTTTTTGTATGTTAACAGATCAAACCCAGGGCACAAGCATGCTACACCCCCACCCACCCATTAGTATCATCCTTGAAAGCATGTTTCTTTCCTTATCCCCAGCCGCCAGCCCCGCCCCCTCCCCCCCCCCCCCCCCCCCCCCCCCAGACAGGGTTTCTCTGTGTAGTTTTGGTGCCTGTCCTGGATCTTGCTCTGTAGACCAGGCTGGCCTTGAACTCACAGAGAAGCCTGGCTCTGCCTTCCAAGTGCTGGGATTAAAGGCGTGTGCCACCACTGCCCTGCCCTCTTTCCTTCTTTTTAAAAAGAACCAGTTGGTGGGTTTTTTCCTAGCATCTTCCTACCACATGCCATTGCACTTCTCTCCTGTTGCTCCTCCTCTCTCTACTCCTGTTGTGGAGCCTTCTTCCCTGCAAGCCTAGCTGCCCTTGGACTTCCCTCATGAATGTATGTTTCTTCCTTCAATTTTATGATAAATTAGAAAAGAATTTCCTCGAGTGACTGCAGACTGCTGTCTATGAATATGAGCCACCCAACATCTGTATTTATGCCATTAGGATGAGGGCATCAATAATTCTTTCTCCTTTTACTCTCTCCACAACTTCTTAGGGTTTGCTGAGCTCATCGCTACAGCTGACATGAATGAATGAATGAATGAATGAATGAATGAATGAATGGATAGGAATGGAGAGAGGTGACGACCCCCACTTACCCCGGCTCTCCAGGCTGCTGCTCAGTCGCCGCTCGGCTGTTTCTAAGAGCTGTTTGCAGGTCTTCCAGAGCTGGCACTGGCAGCAAGCCAGGTCAAAGGCAGCCATGGCAGGGGGACTGAGGTCTTCCAGAACTTCTCTAAGAGGAGTGGTGGGCTCCGTCAGAGTAGCGTTTATCCAAAAATCTTCCTGGAGTGTGGGGATGGGGTCTTCGGAGGGGCTGAGGAGCTTGTCTGTCACATCAGAGATGGAGTAAAACACCATTCCTGGACATGGCAGCAGTGAAGAGCAAAAAGCAAGGGTTAGATGAGTCTAGCTACCACCGTAGTATGAGGAGTGGTTTGTCTGGGGTTTTTGTGCACAGGATCTGCACACATTAACACTTTCATTAGGGCCCGCTCTTACAGAATCAAAACAAAGGTAAGAAAAAAAGGCCACAATAAACCCAGGAGGTAGCGATGAAGGAGCGCTTCTTCCCAATAGGAGCTAATGCAGGCAAGAAAGACGCGGATCAGGGTAGAGCAAGTGGAAACACTCTCTAAGCACACTGCTAAGAAAGCAAAGTAGACAGCATTACTGCTGTAAGAGCCCCTCTCTAGCAAAGCCATTGAAAAGATGTGCCGAAGTATGTTTTAAAGAGGGGGCCGGGGAGAGGCCAGCGCCAGCGCAGTGGGTGATGACCCCTGCTGAGCAAGCACGAGGACCTGGTATGTATTTTAAGTAGGCCTGGAAAGTTTCTGGAAGCATTTGTAAGGGGCAACACATGATGGTAACCTGATACATGGGGTCTGGGGAGCAACGGGAGAGGTGAGAATGTGGCACAAGCTTCGAGAAAGAAGGGAAGGCAGCTGTTGGAGTGGGCGGCCACAGCTGGGAACTGACAGGTGGCCCCCAGGCTACAAACATTAACCAGCGATTTTTCACTTTAGGAACGGCAAGTAATAAATATGCTTTACCGCTGAATAGTTGCAAGAGAAAGGAACAACTCCTAACAGTCCTCTAATGCCCAAGTGAGGGATCCCAAAATGCACCGGGCCAACACTCTTGTTCTTTAACTTAAGTTGGGGATGATAAGCAGGATTGGCTTGAGGGACAGGCCTGTGGTCACCTAGTCAGGGAGGCTGGGTGCAGCTAGGAGACTGCTTGGAATGTGTTGGGATCGCTAGCTTTTGGGACGGGTGTCCTGCTTTCCGTTTCTGGCGACTTCTCATGACGATTTGGGTGGTTTCTTCCCTTACGCCACCACCCCAGCTACCTCTCCATCTCTGACGTCAGCGTGGAAGACTGACCTGCCGCTGCGGCGCTGCCAATGGCTTGCAGAGTGGAGCGCCCACTGCCAGTGCGCCGAACGGTGTTGTTACCCACATCGGAACTCTGGTTTTCAATCTTATGCTCGACCCGGGCCAGCTCCTGGATCACCTCTTGGTAACGCTCTACAAACATCAGCTCCCCGGCACTCGGGGAGGACTTGAGGTTGAACATGAATACCACCTGTTACGAGAAAGGGAGGGGTGTGGCGGTGGTGGGTCCACACAGTCTGGGAACATCTAGCGATAGGATGCTGGGCCGATTCGGGAGACCATGGTCCCAAGATGGCCATTTTAGAGCATCAGGGAGCATCGGGTTTTTCTTTTAGAGACACGGTTATTCGGTGTAGCACTGGCTGTCCTAGAACACACTATGTAGACCAGGGCAGCCTGGATCCACCTGCCTCTGCTTCCCAAGTGCTGGGATTAAAGGCATGTGCCACTACACCCAGCTAGGACTGAATGTTAAGAAGAGACCAAATAAAAAACAGCTCATAAAAGTCCATAAATAAAATCACCAGAGGTCAGAAGGAAATAGCAAATGTTACCGGTGACTTCAGAGGAGAAACCTATAGGAAATACACAAACAAGAACATTTTCTTCCTGACCAGGAATTTAAGCAACTGATACTATTTCCTGACCAGGAATTTAAGCAACTGATACTATTTCCTGACCAGGAATTTAAGCAACTGATACTATTTTAGTTGTTGTGATGAAACACCATGACCAAAGCAGCGTGGGGAGGAAAGGGTTTATTTGGCTCACACTTTAGCACTGCTGTTCATCACTGAAGGAAATCAGGACAGGAACTCAAACAGGGCAGGAACCTGGTGGCAGGAGCTGATGCAGAGGCCGTGGAGGGGTGCGGCCTACTGGCTTGCTCAGCCTGCTCTCTTATAGAATCCAGGACCACTAGTCCAGGGGTGGCACCACCCACAATGGGCTGGGCCCTCCCCCATCCATCACTAATTTAAAAGCCCTACAGGCTTGCCTACAGCTCGATCCTATGGAGGCATTTTCTCAGTTGAGGCTCCCTTGTCTCTGATGATTCTAACTTGTGTCCAGTTGACACAAACCTGCATAGATACTACTTAATACCTAACACACTAATGAAGTGTAAGAATAGACCCTCCAGGGGTACGCCACAACTGCTGGGGATAGTTTGGGAATCTTTTAAACATATTTTTAAAATAATTACGTTTCTTTATTTATTTATTTAGAGGGAATGTGTGTGGGTGCATGAGTACCATAGGACACACGTGGAAGTCGGAGAGGAACTTGCAGGAGTTAATTCTCTCCTCCAACCATGTGGATCCCAGGGGTCAAATTCAGGTTTTCAGGCTGGGTGGCAAGTGCCTGTACCCACCGAGACATTTTACTTGCCCTAAAATGTGTTTTGACTTAATAATTTAGGTGAGACCCCTTTCCTTCCCTTCCCATCCTCCCACTCCACCCCTTTGTTGAGCCAGGCTCTTATTCTATAGCCCAGGTTGGCCTCAAATTCACAGCAGTCCTCCTGCTTCAGTACTGGGCTTACCAGTGTGAGCCACCATACCCAGCTATGAGAACTTTCCTTAAGGAAATAATTCCAAAGGCTTTACACATAAGGGTGATCATGTTTCCAGAGCATTATTATAATGCTGAAAATAATCTGTGTGTTGGACAGAAAATGACTTAAATGTGATGATGATCATTGGAAAGATATACACATCTTTAACACTGGTTGCTTCTTTTTTTCGTTTTGGTTTTCCAGGACAGGGTTTCTCTGTGCAGCTCTGGCTGTCCTGGATGGAACTCACTCTGTAGCCCAGGCTGGTCTTGAACTCAGAGATCCGCTTGCCTCTGCCTCCTAAGTGCTGGGATTAAAGGTGTGTGTCACCACCACCTGGCTAACATCGGTTATTTCTATATGATAGTGTTAAAACTAATTTTATTTTCTTATTAATACTGTTTGTAATATGTAGAACTTGTTTTGTAACTAGGTTAAGAAAATAAAGCGCGCACACCACACCCACACCAAGGTTTAAGGAAAGAGAGACAAATGTGCGGTATTTAGGGGAGAAAGCACCATGTAAGCTCCTAGCTGTTCAGGTTGAAGAAAGGCTGGGAAGCAACAACAGAACAGTGAGACCAGGATCTGTTTTTGATCCAGGAGTTAACTCACTGTAAAGCCCAGCACGTGTGAGAGCCTTGGTTCAAGTCTCAGCACTACAGAAAGAACAACAAAGGAAAGCATGTAGTGTGGGGATCCCCTGCCTTGTCCAGAGAATCCTAATCATGAAAGTAGGAACTCTAAAAGGAACAGGGGGAGTTAAGGAAAGATCATCTTAGCATGGAGATTTCCCCCAGATCTACTTAATACCTGGAGTCGCGCCATAGAAAATTCTAACCTAGATATTCAGGGACCAGCATTAAGTTTCAAAAAACTCTTGGAGTGTTTGAAGCACAGAAGAGTGGTACTTAATGCTATTGAGATTCAACAACAGAGAGGATTCCTGCATTTCTCACGGCTCCTGTATAATCTTCTTAACCTTACTATGAGCAGGAGATGCAAGAATTATACTGAGCTACAACTGTCCACAGAGGATCAAGGCTCACAGAGCTTGAGATGTTCTGACTGCTATTCCAGGCACTCCAGTTTGCTAGCCCCGATGCTGTACGCTGAACTGAACTGCCATTCTGTATACTACCAAAAGCTATCGCATTATGATTTTTAACTATATAGAAACACAGATATGTTCACAGGAGTATGAAGAAAGAAACAGAAGTTTCTCTGTTTGGAGGTGGTGAGATTGTGGCTATTTTATTTTGTTAAAATGCTGCTTGTATTAAGAACACAAATAATGCTGGGCGTCGGTGGTGCATGCCTTTGATCCTAGCACTCGGGAGCCAGGCCTCTGTGAGTTCAAGGCCAGGCTGGTCTATAGAGCGAGATCCAGGACAGGCACCAAAAAAAACCCCACAAATAACCCAATGCCTCTAAACCCGCAGTGCCAAGCACTGGGCCTGCACATGTGGAAATTCCTTTCTGTTTTTTTTTTTTTCTGCTCAATGTGACCCCCAGGAAGCCCACTCAAGTACCTTTGGGGTCACATGCATATTTAGCTTTCCCGGAGGCCCAATATGACAGCCCATCAGGGGCTGACTTAGCATGCTTTACCATGACAAGTCTCCCTTTACCTGATGGGCTTCTGCCAAGTTCCCCCTGAGGATACAGGATGCCAGCAGTGACTCCGGTGGGGAGAACATCATGGGGATGATTGAACTCTGAGGCTGGGGCTGCAACCGGCTCTCCAGCTCCACCTGCCCAGACACAGCACTCAGACTCCCTTCTGTTGGGTGTAAGAACATTGGACACAGTCAGGAGAAAACACGGACTTGTCACCTCCCTCCTCACGCCTATATTTCCTCTGAAAGATCTGTAAATGGGTCTTGGTTTTTGTTTAAATGAAAGGTAAACATTTATTACCATTACAAGTACCAACTACCTTCCTTGACTAGCCACCTGTTTCTCTCTGCTGCTGGGTAAGTTAACTGACAGAGAAAGCCTTTACTCTTTTCTGGGCTGACATCCGCTCCGTTGTCTGCAGAATGAACCTTGAACAGAGGTTCTGTTCTGGTGTTTACACCGCAGGGAACGGCAAGTCTGGACACGGGCAGAGCCGCCTACAGTCAGTAGCAGGGTGGGACCCAGATACCTGAAGTGCTTGTACTCAGCTCACTGCTTGTATTCTCCAGGGATGGTGGGTTGGAGCCTCTTTCCCGGCCATCTAGGGGTAGAAGAGTGAAATTCGGTCACCCACTCCTTATAGTGTGTAAACTGCAAAGCCAGCCTACACGCCGAGATCTGGGTAGACTGAGGATAAAGGGTGACCACAGCAAGGATGGATGGCAGGTACGATGCGGTCCCGGAGCTCTCTGGGTAGCAGTCTATACCAGCAGTTTTTACCATGTGGGGTCTCAGAGTCCTCAGAGCTAGTGATCACCATCTGCTAAGTACTAGCAATGGCTTGGTAAAATAAAAGCACAACTAACCATGACTAGGAAACAGTAGGGCACAAAGAGGAGTCATGACGTTTTCTGACATAGAGGACGTGTCTCCAAACATGAAAAGGTAGGTGACAAGGGCCACCCTGGTTAAACCCAGGAGGAGAAGTGGCTCAGCATCAGCTTTCCAAAGTGCTGAGACTTGCCAATGGAGGCTGGGGGTCCCTTAGGGTGGCCTTGTGGAGGCTGTATCACCCATCAAGGGGGTCCCCTTGGCCCGCTGCTGAGGCTGCTCTGTGGAAAAGGAAACGGAATGCATGTTCTGGGGCTGGATGACTCAGGTGGACGCAAACTCGGCCCGTGTCCCAAACCAATCAACTGGGAGACTTCACGTAGTTTTCCCAGGTTTCTCTCATGCTGTCCTTCACCTCAACCAGAGTGTTTAGTGTGTGTGTGTGTGTGTGTGTGTGTGTGTGTTATTATGCATATGTGAAGGGATATGCATGTTGTCTTGTGTGGGAAACTTCTGGATGGCTAGGTAAGAAACTGTTATGACCTGACTTGGGAAGGGGTGGGACTAGGAGGATCTTCCACTTTTGTTATGTTGACCGTGTGCTCTGCCTAGAAGAACATTAGACAAGTGCCAGCATGCCTCTTTGCCAGGTGTATGAGAACAAGACTTGAGGAGAGAGTTTTGTGGATCACCTGCCCGGGTCCTTCTAGTCCGACGACCTCGGCGGAGACTAGAGTGCCTTGTGGCAATGGGCCGGTATCTTCGGGAAGGCTGCTCTTCTGGAACAGCAAACACAGGCACAGTGATCAGCCGTGATGTGACGCCTTGTGGAAACGGGCAGGGGCAATCTTCACTAAGCTCTGAGATGTCATATTCCCTGGATTAGGGTGTGGCTCCCACGTGCCTGCCCCTTGCCCAGGTTGCCGGAACTTTTCTCCTTTCCTACTTTCTAGGCCTTCTAGTTCCGTCTCCCTCCTCTCACCTGAGCCCTGGTTGCTTGTTACCACCTTGTACCGCCACTGGGCCTCCGAGAGAACCTTCGAGAACCGGTGCAGGCGGCTCTGCAGTCCATCTCTGCCCGCGGAACAGCTCTGGCCTTCTAGCAGCTTTGTGTCCTCGGGAGCGCTGTGGCTGCTGATCTCATCGAGCTGCTCCTGAATAAGGCTGAGGAACGCTCCCATTGCAAACTCGTCAGCCAGGAATCCACTCAGGCCACTAGTAAAGTGCTTTAGGTCCAAAAAGCTGTGCTTAGGAGGCCCTGGCGAACTGTCTTTTGGCTCTGCCTTTGGACAGCTTGGCATTGTGTGAGCAAGGCTCCTGGGTCCCCCCAGGGAACCCCGCTCTGACCTCCTCTCAGGAAGGGCTATGTGCTGAGGACTCTCTGACGGAGACCTCAAACCCAAGGAGCCTTTCCCCTCGATGTCCTCCTCCTCGGCATAGTCCTCTGGCAGGTGAGGCTCTGGGTGAAGGTCGGCGGAGGTAATGAGGAGCAAAGAGAAGATGTTTTCGAGAATTTCCAGGCACAGAGAGTCGGGGATACTGCGTAAATACTGTCGGCACCTGGCCAGGTATGTTGGGAAGAGATGGGAAGCACCTAAGGAGGATGAATAGAGAAGAGGCCAGAGGAAGAGAAGAGAGAGGGAAACATTAAAAAGCGTAGCCCACTGAACACGCCCTGTGGTTCTGCTCTTCAGTTGTGACATTCCTTACCGTATTTCAGTTCTAGGGATGAAGGTAACATGGACTCCTTACCCCTCAATTCTGTTTTCACCTCCTGTTACTATAACAACAACCTCAGGCTACCTAGGTCTCTTAACACTTGATATTCGACAAGGGTGTGGTAGCACAATTCGGATCCCAGCATTCAGGAGGCTGAGGCAGGAGGATTGCCACAAGTTTAAGGCCAGCCTAAGCTACAGAATGAAACTCTGCCATAAAAAAGAAGGTGCTGGGGAGATGGCTTAGCAGTTAAGAGCAATGGCTGCTCGTCCAGAGGACCTGAGTTTGATTCCCAGTGCCCACTTGATGGCTCGTAACCTCTGCAACTCCAGTTTTAAGGAGATCTGATGTTCTGTTCTGGCCTCTGTGGAAAGCAGGCATGTGCATGGTGCACAGACATACATGTAGGCAAAACACCTACATGTATTTAAAAAAAAAATCTAAAAAATAAATTTAAAAGAAGAGAAGGAGAAGGAGGAAGAGGAGGAGGAAGCAGGATTAAGCATAGTATTTCAGGACTATAATACCAGTGTTTGGGAGGCTTAAGAGTTTGAGGCCAAACTAGGCTACATCAATTTCTATTTGTATGACACAGTACAACTTGGAAGGAAGGGAGGGAAAAGGAAAAAAAAAATCCTAAGTATTTTCTAATTGGAGTACTGTTTCTTAAAACTAAGCTTCAATTTATATATCACATACATAAATGCACTTATTAGTCTATTAACTTAAGTATTTCATGAATGTGGGTGTTTTATCTGCATGTACACCTGGACATCAGAAGAGGGCATCAGATTCCATGGGACCACAGTTACAGATGACTATAAACTGCCATGTAGGTGCTGGGTGTTGAACTCAGGACAGGAAGAGCAGACAGGGCTCTCTCTCTCTCTTTTTTTTCTCCTGTTTTTCAGGACAGGGTTTCTCTGTGTAGCCCTGGCTGTCCTGGAACTTACTCTGCAGACCAGGCTGGCCTTAAATTCAGAGATCCACCTGCCTCTGCCTCCTGAGCCAGTGCTCCATCTCTCCAGCCCCCGGAATGCTATTCTTATGGTGGTGTCTAGCTACACAAAGGGAAATATTTGGCAAATACCATGCCAGATGATCAGAGTAAGATCCATTAAGATGTAAGCAGGTCCCTTTGATGCAGACGCTGATAAGTGGATAAGACCATTCCTGTGTGCTTTCAAATCAAGGGCGCTCCATCACGGAAGGGAACAGTGACTACACACAGCGGTCACGGGGGAGGGTGTCTGCATATGCCAGGGACAGGGAAGCTCTGTACCTGCGGAGGGGAGGCAATCATTGCCTGACTCCACCACGGCCAGCTCCTCAGAGGCGCCGTCTCTGCAGTTCCGGCACTGAGAGTGCTGATGTGAGTTCACACAGAGGGCGTAGACGGCATACTTCATGGCGCAGAAGCCCTGGTAGAGGGTCAGGCTCTGACATTGGCTCAGGTGCTCAGGGACTGAGGCATCCTGGGTACCTGAAGCCGAGAAACAGGTAGGACTTCAGAGTTAATTAACCTTTTCAGGCACGAGCAGCAAGCACGGCTGAAGGAAAGCAGGTTGATCTGCAGTTCTTAGCGTCCTGTGCGTCTGACCTGCACCTTCCCAGGCCTCTCCCCTAGTCAGTACCAGCTCTGTCCTCTTTGCTTTTCTGTACCAGTCTTCCTTCTATATGATGCATGGCCTCCATTACCTGGGTGCTAACTATATACTCCATATGGTTTGTACCCCAGTCATGGTCCTGTTACTGCCCTTTTTCAAGTCCAGTGCCAAGCTCCAAGTACATCTCAATGGATTTACATGGCCAAATGTCAAGTACATCATTGGAAGCCTTTGACACTTGTAGGTGGGAATCAGAATTCTAGTTCTTTTAGGAAATTTGCCAAACAAGTTGCCCATCTTTCTGGAGGTGGGGTGGGGAGAAAAGAAAAAAAAAAAAAAGGAATGTAGAAACACCGTTTTTTGTGGTTTGTGGAAGGTCTTTTTGAAAAGCAAATCAAAACATCTCCCTACTGGAAACATCTGCTCTCACCTGAGAAAGGTCCCTGACCTGGGCGACACAATGTGAGGACACTACGGCCAACTCACCATGCTCTCGCTGGAGGTCCTTAGCTGGCACCTTCTGTAAGAGCTTGAGGACTTCTTCCTCTCCGAGGGCTGGAAGGTTTGTAAGGTGATGGAGAGTGTAGAGCACTGAGTGGCTGTCCCCGCCATGTAAGTGACACAAGAGCTCTCTCTTTGGTATGAGGCTGCTGCAACAGAAGGTCGGAAGGATGGACAGGGAGGCAGTTTTTATTATTGCCCTGCAGAGAGACAACTCTGTTTCCTCTTGTTTTTCTTTTCTGGCCTATAATATTCCAAGTTTCACTTTCTCAAACTATATTTTACTAGGTCTAGGATAAAAGGTAACATTTATCCTTGAAGGAATTATATAACTCAAGTTAGCTGCTTGTCTAGAAAGGATCTAAGAAGGGCCTTTCTGACCAGTGGAGTCTAAGAAGGGCCCGAAGATCCGAAGATCCTAAGGTCTATTCTCTCTGTAGCTCTGAAACAGGCTTCCTCAGCTTTACTCTGAGTGAGAGTCCCTTTCTACTCATGCCTCCCACTACTTTCTGAAGCACTGGTGAGAAGAACAAGGAACAAAATGGAAACTCAGATCTAGGCGACGGCAGGTCTCACTACGTAACCTTGGCTGGCCTGGCACTCGCTCTGTAGACCAGGCTGGCTGTGAACTCAGAGATCTGCCTGCCTCTGCCTCCAGGGTGCTGAGACTAAAGGTGTGAGCCACCATGAGTGGCCCTTAGCATCCCATATTCAAAGCAAGAATCACGTCTGTATCTACTTCACCAGAATGTTGTAAGGGGCTTAGAACAAGGCCTGGCCTGTAGTACATGCCTAGTGATTGTGAGCTGTTGTTTTTTCAGACCCCAAATTATCCTTTGGCTGTGATGTGATGGTCACAAATGGAAGCTAATCATTACTTCCTCCAACCCCTGGTTTAACGGATGGAACAATTATTTCAACATTATCCTTTTTTTTTTTTTTTTTTTTCTGAAATAGAGCACAGGGTTGAGTGTGTCCCAGGGATGGTAACGGCTTGATAGGGACATACCTGCTTTGCTGTACACACCACTCCAGGACCTCTAAATGAGCCCACAGTCCTTCACAGGCATCCCTGAGAAGCTCGTCATGGCCTTGGTCCTACATCAGTGCAGAAGAAACAAACGCTGACTCAGGCGTCAGGTACTGTAGCTGACGTGAGACGCTGAACTCTTCTAGGCCCAAAGCCCCTTGGCATTCATTTCTGGAGCACCCTGAGGTGCTGAATGAGTTACCTGGGTCCTGTAGAGGGTTTGGAGTAATTGTTTAGCTGATTCAAGGCTCTGGCAGTGTGTCCAGCCCAGGAGTACGAGCAGGTGACTGAGAGGCCTGAATTCTCTATCAAGCAGGCGTCCAAGGCTTGGGAAGTCTTCCTCTTTCAACAGGGTTAGCGCTGTTACCTGTAAGCCAAAGGTCACCTGGTTACCCGAACTTGAAAGAATGAGTTCCAGTTTCATTAGGGTAGTTGGTTACATAAAAAGAAATGTTCACCAAAGTACAACATTCCAAGCATTTTGAAGTGAGGGACAGACTTCTGTTGTATTCCCGTCTCTTAGCGTAGCATACAACCTACAAGTTGGGATTCACAACTATCTTTTGAAGTAAATGAGGTTCAGTTGCAATTTGGAAGGCAAGATTCAGAGTAATTAAATTTCCCTGCCAGCTAGGCCTTGTACTGCTGCCGTGGCCTTTGCTTTCTACATCCTCCAGAGAGCTGACACATAGCCGGCATTTCCTTCCTACCAAAGGTTCCACATGAGGTGACTGCAGCATCAGTTACGACTGGAACTGGATGTTCTCAGACGCCCCTCTCACCCTAGGGACTTGGGGATGACAACCAGATGATCTGTCACTGATTAGAAGGCAGGAGCCAGATACATGAGTGGGAGAGAAACCAGGAAACCGAAACAGCCCAGAGAGGTTCTGGATTCTTCTATGACGGACAGTAGTTTAGCCTGACTTACCAGGATCTGCTCCAGGAAGTGTTTGTTGTTGCTCAGGCAGTAGAAAAAGGCCATTTTCCAAGCGTCGGCTGGGTCGGGAGTGGAGAACAGGGCTAGCATTGCCCGCTCAGGATCCGGATGATCTGGGGACACTGAGCAGCACGCCAGGACGGTTACTAGGAAATTAAGAGCCTCTTTTTCTCATGCTATAGTCCACACTGAAAACCAACCAATCTGAGACCAGGCGCTTGTATTTATTTGCTTAAAATTTATTATTGTTATTTTTATATTGTGTGTGTGCCTGTGCATATTATGGAGTTCATTCTTTCCTTCCACTTTTACGTGGGTTATGGGGCTCGAACTCAGATCACTGGGCTGGTATGGCAAGCACCTTTACCCATTGAGCTATCTTTCTAGCCCAAGAGTAGACTCTTGTAAAAGTTAAACCCAACTGTTTACACTTTATCTTAAGGATGCTTCATTCCTCTTAGTAGCTTCTGCAAAGCTCTTTTCTGTTCCTATTCTTTTCTTAAGCTCTGATTTAAACAAACAACAAACAAAACAACACTAACAACAAAACGTGCTATGTGGTTATGCTTAGCCTCTCCTGTCTTGGACAACAAGCAGGTACAATACTAGTCCAGAGCTTCAGAGGGCACATTGGAATTTACTAAAGCACAAGGAGAAACAGCCAAAGGAACACACCTTTTCCTAGAAGTGTGGCCTTTGGTGGCCTTTCCGCCACCTTCTCTGCATAGGTTTGGCCGTAGAGGGACAGTAGGCTCCGTCCGGCCTTGTGCAACAGGCAACCAAGCAGACGTTCCTCCTGCAGGGGACTGCCCTCAGTCCTGCAGGTCTCCAACAGTTCCTCACATAGGACACGCCATTCACTCTCCGGTGGCTCAAGAGTGCAACACAGAGCCTGCAGAGCTCCATAGACAGCGTCGGCCACCCCAGGCGGCTGAGGGGCAGGGTCCCGGAGGGTCTGCAGTCCCTTTCGAATGAGGCCCAGCAGGGTCTTCTGCAGAGGACTGGGACAGAGGCTGGCGCTGTGGTGATCCTCAAGCAGGAGCTCCAACAGGGCCTGGGCTGGCTGAGGGGCTTGCTTCAGAAGATTCCAGAGCACGGAGACAGCTTCAGGGCTGAGCTGAGGGGCCCCGCTCTCCCACCTCTGGCGTCTGTCAGGTATATTGCCTGCTGGGCTTCGGGCTAAGGTTTCAAACAGCTCCTGGGTGGAGAATGAAGACAGGGATTGTAGTGGCCACCAACATGACTGTGTTGAGGGCTCGGCAGCAGTAACAAACATTTCTATAGGCATTTTGCATAGCTAGCCACTGTTCAAGGCTCTTCACGGAAGAACCAAATCAACCATTATGATAATCTCCAGAGGAAGATACTATAGTTATTCCCAGCTTACTGATGAGACTGAGGTTAAAAACGATTAGCTCAGTTACCCAAGTCCCACCCCACTCTCCTCAAAGTGTATATTGGTGACCTAAATTAAGACTATACACTTATAGACTAGGTAGGTAAGGCATTATGCACACCTAAAAGCAAATCTATCTATCTATCTATCTATCTATCTATCTATCTATCTATCTATCTATCTATCTATCTATTTATGGTTCTTCGAGACAGGGTTTCTCTATGTAGCTTTGGCGCCTTTCCTGGAACTCACTCTGTAGCCCAGGCTGGCCTCGAACTCACAGAGATCTGCCTGCCTCTGCCTCCCGAGTGCTGGGATTAAAGGTGTGCACCACCACCGCCCGGCAAATCAATTTATTTTTGAAAGAATACTACATATCAGCTTTTAACTACTGCTCTGAACTCTGTCCATGTTTTAAGGCACAGTCCATTTGTTATCCTCTCATAAAGCCCTTCTGCTATGGTGTGACTGTGTACCTTCAAAGTCCACGTGTCAGTAACCAGGCATGTAGCACGCACCTGGAATCCCAGCACTTGAGAGGCTGAGACTTTGTGGCCAGACTGGGCTATGTGACAAGACACTGTCTCAAACAAACAACAACAAAGTAGCTCATGTGCTGGAAACGTAATCCCCAATTTCACATGTTAATATTTAGAGACTGAGCCTTTGGACGAGAGTTCAGATTAGACGGGATCTAATCTCAAGGCCAATTCCCATGATATGAGCAGCTTTGTAAGAACAGAGACACCCCCCACCACCCCCTGAGTTAGCACACCTGTCCGCTCTCACTTTGTGATGCCCTCTGCCATGTTATGGTGCAGCAAGAAGGCTCTTCCAGATGCCGGGCAGACACCAGTGCTATGTTATTCTTCCCAGTGTCCAAACCACGAACTAAACAAATCTCTGTTTTACAAATTACCCAGCCTGTGGTATTTAGTTTTAGCAACAGACATCAGAGAAACTCGCTTAATGTTTTTAATCCACACACCTTCGAACAATTAAATGAGTACCGTATGGTTCATTAAAAATATGTCTCCGATGTATTAGTTCAATTAGGTATTGAGTCTACCTCTTCAGCTCGACGGTTAAAAGCATGATTCTCTATAGTCTGCTTGTATGGGCAGACTGAAGAAGAAAGGGGCATGAGGATGTGTACTGTTTCCCACATCTGTAGATAATGTTCAGGGATGGCTTTTTATTAATTGCTAGTCTATGAGCCCTTGAACTAACGAAAGTCAGTTCTTAGATAAGTCCTATATGTCTTATCTGGAAGCAGGGTCTTAAGAAAACAAATAACGGGCTGGGGTGTGGACCAAGGACAGAGTGACTGTCTAGAATGTGTAAGACCCTGGGTTTGATGCTACCAAGAGTTAAAATAAATAAATGAAGTATTGAGTCTTAAACACCTAAGAAGCAACTGATTTATATATATATATAATTTCTATATAGATATAGTTAACTATATCTCTCTATAGAAAAAAGCTAGCAATCTGATAGATGATATAGTTACCTATACCTACCTATAGATAAAGATATCTATCTACATATTATCTATCTACTGATTGCTAACTTTTTTCTGGGGGGTGGCAATAGGGACAGGTTTTTACTATGTAGCTCAGGCTGGCCTCAAATTCTTGATTATTGGCATATACAATCATGCTTATCTAGACAAAGACAACATCTAGCTGGAATCTGCCTCTAGAAAGTTGTTGAAATGATTAGCTATAAAACACTAGTGTGCCTGTTATAGAAGACAAGTCCATCAATATCAGTTCCTTCCCTCAAACTCTCTATGATCTACTGGTCAACGATTCAAAAATCTTAAACCCAAGTAATGAGTTCCGTCTAGGTGAAATGCAAAGAACAAGTGAGTGCCTGCTATGATCAGTACTGCTGGGCAATCTGCTTCCAGAATTCCAAAACCAGGCAAGTTATACTCACTCTAAACTCCCCTTGGAGGGGCCTGTCTATTGCTTCTCTGAAAACAAAGGACAGCCAATGTCTTAAGAGACCTGTCTCCCCTACGGCCCTGAAAGTTGACCTTGTTCAGTGACTGCAGATGGCCTCAGGCTCTCTTACCTTGAGGATGTTCTCTGGAATGTCACCTTGGAGGTCTTCTGACAAAAAAAGAAACTCAAGTTTCCTCCGAAAAACGGCAGAAAGTAATTTCTAGAGGAATAATAAGCAATTACAGAGGTCAGGTATATGCTTTGCCTAACAAATACAGTTCCTCTTTAGTTACTCTTATTTCTGCTACTTCTCTAAGATCAAGTACCTTTAGCCATTACCCCCTGGATACAATTTTTTTTATAAGATTTATTTTATTTTTATGTATATGGGTGATTTATGTATGTCTGTGCACCATGTGCAAGTCTGGTGCCTGCAGAGGCCAGAAGAGGAATCAGATCCCCTGAGACTGGAGTTACAGATGGTTGTGAGCTGCCATGTGGGTGCTGGGAATTGAACCCAGGTCCCCTGGAAGAGCAGTCAGTGCTCTTAATCTCTGAGCCATCTCTCCAGCCCTCCTGGCCATGTTTTTAGATGCTTTCCTTTGGAAATAAAGCTGGCTAAACTTGAACATTCTTTAAATTAACATGCAGGGGCTTTCAAAGATGGCTCAGTTCAAAAAGGGATTGCCCCACAAGCATGAGGACCTGAGTTCAGATCCCTAGCACCTACATTTGAAAAAAAAAAAAAAAAGGGCTAGGTGTGGTGGTATATACCATTAATCTCAGCACCTGCCTTTAGTCCCAGCACTTGGGAGGCAGAGGCAGGCAGACCTCTGTGAGTTCAAGGCCAGTATGGTCTACATAGTGAGTTCCAGGTCAGGCATAGCTATAGTGAGACCCTGTCTCTCAAAACAAAACAAAACAAAACAAAACAAAACAACAAAAACACAATACCTGGACTGGAGAAATGGCTCAGTTGTTAAGATGCACAGACATATGTACATTTATATACATAAACACAAACATCACAACAACACAATAACAAACCAAAGAACAACAATAAATATCCAGGGTTAAATGTGTACAATCCCAGCACAAGAGGGTCCTGGGAGCTTTCTGGCCAGCCAGTGTAGCCAAACTGATCAGTGTAGGGTTCAATGAAAGACTTTGTCTCAAAAAACAAAAAAACCCAAAAAACCCAAACCGACCAATCACCACCACCACCACCACCACCAAAATCCAAAACAAACAAACAAACAAACAAACAGAGGCAGGAAGAGACCTAACTGACCTGATGTTGATTTTCGACTGCTTTGTGTAAGCCGCGCGCATGCACGCGCGCGCACACACACACACACACACACACACACACACACACACGAGTTAAAGCCTATACTGATTAAACCCCAAGGTTTGTTCATTTCATGTGGCCTTTCTTTTCCTGTTTCTCTGTTTGGAGACACGGTCTTGCCTGGTAGCCCAGGCTGGTCCTGTACTTAGGTCCTCTTGCCCTGTTTTCCTCCTGCTGGGATGAGACCGACACCATAACCTGACTCCCTCTTTTTGAAAAATCACTCTTTTTTTTTTTCATCAAGAATTTTTGTTGCTGTGGGCAAAACAGCTACAGGGAAGCCTTGGAGGGCATGTCCTCATAATCCTCTTTAATCCAACCGTGCTTTTGGTGTTCACTATCCTTTGTATACCAGTTGTTGAAGAAAAAACCAAAACAAAACTAAAGGGAAGGATCTAATGTCTATTTAGCATGCATGCCTGGCAGAGGGTGCTGTATTTCATTTCCAAATCAAAGAAACCCATGGCATGAAGCTATATGTTTTTTTTTTTTGTTTGGTTGGTTTTTTTTTGGAGCTAGGGTTTCTCTGTGTAACAGCTCTGGCTGTCCTGGAACTTACTTTGTAGACCACGCTGGCCCCAAACTCACAGAGATCTGCCTGTCTCTGCCTCCCGTGTGACACCACTGCCTGGCTGAAGCCATATGTTTTAAACAATAATCCTTACTGGAAGTGAAATGGTTAAAGAGTATTTTATAATCATTCCAAACATAAAAATTTTAAAAAGAGATATATTTTCTTTTCTTTCTTTTTTTTCTTTTTAGGTTTTTTGTTTTGTTTTGTTTTGAGACAGGGTTTCTCTGTAGCTTTTTGGAGCCTGTCTGGAACTCACTCTGTAGACCAGGCTGGCCTTGAACTCATAGAGATCCACCTGTCTCTGCCTCCCAAGTGCTGGGATTAAAGGTGTACACCACCACTGCCCAACCTAGTGATATATTTTTAATCTAGAAAAATTAAAAAATATAATTAGGTAAACTATAATACAACTGTAATATATAAAACTTAAAATCAATGAAGGAGAAGTATGACTAATGACACTGAAAATTTATTTACCAAGCTGGGCGGTAGTGGCGCATGCCTTTAATCCCAGGACTTGGGAGGCAGAGTCAGGCGGATCTCTGAGAGTTTGAGGCCAGCCTGGTCTACAGGGCCACATCCAGGACAAGCACCAAAACTACACAGAGAAACCCTGTCTCAAAAAACCAACCAGCCAACCAAACAAACAAAAATTCATTTACCACATAATTTTGAACAGCGGCATAGTGTATTGCATATAGATATGCTTCCATTTATTAACCAGGCCTGTGTCCCATGGACATGAGGGTTATTTCTAGCTTTCCTCTCTTAGTAGTGGCTTATCAGCAAACGTCTTGTAGCTAAACCTTTATACACAGGCTTACACATGTAGGCCTAAACCACTGCAAGATAAAGAGACAGAAGATAAAAGTGAATGAAGGAAAGGAAAAGAGCAGGACTGCTTCACCTAACAATTAGAAGGCAGCCCTTGGCAGGCCGTGGGAGCCTGGGAAAGCAAGCAGCTCTGCGTGTCCAGAGCACGACGCCACATCTGGCTCTCTAGTACTCCCAAGTGCACCCGAAGTCTTGGTCCTCACCAAACAGTTTATGGTTCGCCAAACAACACAACTAGTCCTAGCACTGTTTAAAGAAGTGAATCACTGGAGCTTTAAGGACTACGCAATCTGTCTGATATTGGCCAAAACAAGAACAATTCCCTGTCTGGCCTAAGGAGCCAGGGAAGTGAAATCCACCACCTGATGTTGTTGAGCAACCTTCCAGAGAATAAGCAGCCAATGAGGTCGCACGTAAGCAAGCCAGCAGACCTCTCCCCCCAGAGGAAAGGTCAGTTAGTTCAACGGGCTTCGTGTTTGTAATAGGGAGATCCTTATTCAGTAACAAAGCCCCCCCATCCCCCTCCCTTCCAAGATGCAAGCGAAACTTTTCTTTTTCTTTTCTACTTTACCTCATTTTTGTTACCTTTCTCTCCCTTTAGTGCTGACTCTTAATTATCCTCGGTTTCATTATTTTACAGTTCTGCTTCTCTTACTTGCTCTTTCTGCTAGTCTTTCTGTAATTTCTCTTTGCTAGGCAACCAGCTAAATGTCTGTCTAAACGATACATTTAGGCCGGGTGGTGGTGGCACATACCTTTGATCCCAGCACCAGAGAGGCAGAGGCAGGAGGATCTCTGTGAGTTCGAGGCCAGTCTGGTATACAGAGTGAGTTCCAGGACAGGAACCAAAGCTACACAGAGAAACCCTGTCTTGAAAAACAATAACCAAAAAAGATTTAGATCAGGAATTTTTGGTACAGTTATGGGTGAGACAAATGTGAAAAAAAAAATGGAACTAAACAAACAAACAAAATAATCCTGATGAGTAAAAGCAATAAATACAAGGGAAAAAATGATGGATATTTAAAAATTGAATTTCTTACTTTGAAGTCCATGTAGGCTAAATATAATGCTGAAGTGGAAAATAGACAGGGGTTGGGGTACGTCAGATCTTGGTTTCATCTCCGGTTTTGCTGGAGTCATTTTCTTGAGTCAAATGTTCCGTGTGTGTGTGTGTGTGTGTGTGTGTGTGTGTGTGTGTGTGTGTGTGTGTATTTGAGACAGTTTCATTATGTTGCCCAGGCCAGCTTTGAACTCCTGGACTCTGGTGATCTTCTTGTGTCAGCTTCTTGAGTGCTGGGATGACAGGCTTGTGCCTCCCACCCCACCCGTCTTGGCATAGTCACTGAACTCCACAAAATTCTCTTCAAGAGTAAGACTTCGCCGGGCGGTGGTGGCGCACGCCTTTAATCCCAGCACTCGGGAGGCAGAGCCAGGCGGATCTCTGTGAGTTCGAGGCCAGCCTGGTCTCCAAAGCGAGTTCCAGGAAAGGCGCAAAGCTACACAGAGAAACCCTGTCTCAAAAAAAAAAAAAAAAAAAGAGTAAGACTTCTAGAGATATTTAACAAAATACTATCACTCCTAATGATATTATATGCTAAGGTACCAGGGTAAATTAATAAGCAAATCATTTCCACAGTCAAAACTGAGAAAGACCACAACCAACCACGAAATAAAGGAAGTAACAGACAGGAGGAAAAACATAACTCCTAAGTTCTTCTCAGTCCTGGCCTCAGGGAAAGATTTAAATGTAAACCCACGTACTTTTTCTTGGTTCAACCATTTTTCCAGTACGAGAAGCCAGAGCCAGGCTAATCTTTGAGGGTTGATATCTGGCCTGCATCTGAAAAGGAAAAGAATTTTTTAGTAAAAGAGGAGTTTCACCTGACCCTTTGTCTTTTGTGATTCGAGATTTTATTTCAGTTTTCAGTCTGTTTTAAACCCGAACAGGCAAGTCCTCATGGGAAATTCTCAAGTGCAAGGAACAGTTCAACAAAACAGAACCCTGTAACTTCCAGCTTCCACTCATGTCTGGACCACCTTATCGAATCCTATTTTATCTTCCCAGCTGGAGTGTTCTTGGGCTGGAACTCTGGGCTCAGGTGATTCTCCTCTGTGTCAGCCTCCAGAGTGTCCGGAGCTACAGCCACCGCCTCAGCACACCTGGCTCAGTCTTATCTGTAGGAACACTCCTACAGAGAAAGTCACAGTCCATGTGAAATATATCCGCCACTCACTGTTTTGAGACAGGGTCTCATACTGCATAGTTCAGGCTGGTCTTGAACTCATAGCAATCCTCCCGCCTCAGTTGGGATGCATGGGTTATAACTACCATACCCAGCCCCGAAGTGTACTTTTGAATACCAAAAATTAATCAAATACAAAAGAATAAAAGGAGTTCATAGAAATTCATTTGTAACTATGTAGTTATAGGAATTCATAAGCCTGACTGAAGTCAGTCGTTTGGGGAGTAACAGCCTAGGACCCAAATTTAAGGAGAAAAAAATCAACAGAAGAGTGAGCTGCTTCTCTGGTTTTTATGTGCTAATCCAATAATTCCACAGGCTGATAACAGAAGGAACAAAATAGTACATTTGGCTCCTATGACACTAGTTCACAGCACTGCTAAGAATTTAAAGATCTAGAATGGAGAATTGTGGTTACCAAGAGGCAAGGAGGGGCCATGGTGTAAATATACAGTATAAGAGCAAGGAGTGAGAGAATTCATATGTAGTGGTGAGTACTTCTGTATTTTTATTACATTGGGGTTACCTCAATCCTCGTATGGGTAAAACTGCACAGAATTACAAGTAAAAAGCAAATATAGAGTTAAACACAGTAAAAATCAAGTAAGATCTTTACTGTAGTTAATGTACTGAGGTCAATTTCCTGATTGTGATATTTTACTACAGCTGGATGAGAGGTCACAACTGGGGAAGCTGGAAAAGGGTGTACCCTGAACGCGATTATTTTTCAAATTTTTGTGGGTCTACAATTATTTCAAAATACAAAGTTTTCAGTTAATGCACTTTCAGTTCTTTGGTAAAGCAACACCACATTACTCTTACAAGTAAGAGGAGAGGGTAGATTTGTCTTTTGGTGACAAGAAGCGGTTACAGCATCTTCTATTGATAATAAACAAGGAGTGATTTCAGAAACCTTTCCGTAAATCCCCCCCCCCCCCCCAGACAAGGTTTCTCTGTGTAGCTTTGCTCCTTTCCTGGAACTCACTCTGTAGCCCAGGCTGAACTCACAGAGATCCGCCTGCCTTTGCCTCCCGAGTGCTAGGATTAAAGGCGTGCGCCACCACCGCCACCACCACCGCCCGGCTAGTTATGCTAAATTTTTAATTGAGTAGTTGACTGGGGGCATAAAGACCAGACTCCAAATACTGAACATTGTGTCTTCCTCTCTGAGATCCTGGTAAGAAGGGAGGTCGCTTACCTTAGCAGAACGGGACACTGCACCAGCGCCTGTAGTATGTCTTCCACCTTTCTGGGGATATCCCCTTGTCCCTTGTGTAGCTGAGGTACACATGCCTGTGCCAACTCCCAGTCGCCCCTCCGCAGGCACTCACAGAAAAATTCAAAAAGCTGCTCCTCGGTAGCGGTTTCCTCTTTTCCAAATGGGTAACTCATTTTCCCAGCACAGAGTGCAGGGAGGTAGAAAGAGAGGCCTTATGCGGAATACATTTTTAATTTTCTCATGCGAGGAGTACCTCCTAGAAACAAGACACCAGCTGAGAAGAAACGAAACTGTTTGGATAAACCACCAGCTACTAGCCCGAAAGAAAAAGGCAGAACTTACTTTTCTAATTATTGTTTTGGGTTTAATTTGACCTGTTACTAACTCCTCTTGAGATCCGTCTCTTTCTCTAAAGGGGTGGATCCCATCTCCTAACGCGGACCCAATACATAATAATCTTAATATTTGCGTTAGCTTGGAGCGCAGACACATAAATTTACTTCCGCATTCGCTCCTGAACATTTTGTCAGTCGGATTACAAATCTCTAGGTGGGTGCTTTGTTGGTAAGGATGAGCACTCCTTTGGTTTGAGCCTTCTGTTAAGGCAGAGGATGAAAGACCACGAGATCAATCTGGGACCGAAATGGAGAGCCGGGAGGCTGGGGGACAGGGATGCTCCCCCTAGCGGGGTCGTGGACAGCACCCTTGCCGTCTTCCCTGCGCTTTACACTCACCTGCTCCGGGAGTCAAAAGCATTTTCGCTTCCAGGGCAGCCATGTTTGAGCCCAGTCAGGTGACAGATCCCATTGCGAAGAGTGGTGGAAGGCGCTGGGATGACGAATGAGAGCGCCACTCCTATTGGCTTAGGAGAAGGAAGATGCAAATCAAGGACCATAGTTATTTGAGTCACGTGACAGCACCGGCTCGCTAGGGTGAAGCTACGCAAGAGTTAAGTCCGCTAGCTACCGGGCTGAGGACCCTTCCTAATCATGACTGCTTCTCCTTGCAACACCTTTAGTTACGCATTTCGGGGGAAATTGAGGCCGGGAGTAGCTGTGTTCCACAGCCCCGCCACTATCTCAGTGCCAGCCAGTGACAGATGCTGGGGATGTCTACAGGAGTCCTGGATCCTCCTGCATCATTATTCCATCTACTTGGGGTATATATTCATTTATACATAGCTATCATGCATATATTATATATTATAACATATAATTATGTATAAATCAGAAGACCGAGGTCGACACAGAAGAGTTGTGCAACCGAAAGCCAAGAGTGAGCAAAGGCTTTTCACAAATTCAGTAATCAAGACAGTTCTTAAGTTTTTCTTACCGCGACTGCTTTACTATTAAACCTACTTGATTTCCTTTATTTCTTTTTCAACTACACTCAGTGTTTTTTTTTTTCAATGTATATTTTAGTTTGAGGAGCTTCAGTTAGCTTCAAAGTGCAAAGCAAAACGAACACTAAGCTCTCTTTCCAAAACTGAAATAGGCAGCTAGCCCATCCTTTCTCCAACTCTTCAGCCCCCCAAAGACGTTTCTTTGGCCCAGAAAGTAACTTAAAATTCGATTCAATAAGGAAAAGAATTTCCAGGCAAGGTTTTCCCTGCTTCACACTCGTCTTGAGAGGTTCTTACTCCTCGATTTTGATAATCACTACAACGGAGAAATTTAATTGGATTAAGAAGCTAGGCTGAGAGTATGAACTACAATTCCCAGAACGCAGCGGGGCCAACCCGAACTTTTGCCTGCTTCTGATTGGATGAGTTGGCAGAGTACCGACCAACCAGCACTCCAGTTGTTGCTGTGCGCGCTTTTCGCGGGTAATTATGTGAGGGTGGGGGAAAGTTTGAAAGTTCGATGCTGCTGACCCGGTACTGGAGTTTTCTGAGGGGGGCAGTTGTGGGGAAGTGGGTGTGCTCATTATCTCGTACCTTCTCTCCGGGCCTGTGGATGTTGATACCGGGTGGCAGAGAGTCCTGGGTACCGGGCACGCCCTCTGCTTCCCGTAAGGGCTCGTCCCTGCAAACTCGGCTTGGGTCCTGGGCTTTCTCAGGGGTGGGTGATGCTTGGAAGCTGCCCTGTTTTATTAGTGCGTTCTGCATGAGGTTTTCTACCTCTTGATGTCTCTCCCTCCGCTTCGGAGCAATTAGGGATCTAGGCAAGTTTAGGGACTGCCACACTTTTGGAATCTGGACTCAGATCTCTGGATTCGAAAGCTGGCTCCATCCCTGGCTAGTTTGCTCGGTTTTCAGCTTAGTGTGTCAGAGTATCCTTATGTGTAAACTGAATTAAAAACATCAGAAGCATTTAAAACTAGAGTTTTAAACCAAAGTTTAAAACGCGTATTAAGGGCCCAACAAATAATCCCCCAACCCCCACAAAACAGCTGTTTTTGTTACTTCCCTACTTTTATTGAGCGCCTAACATAAACTCAGTCTGAGTTGCCATCTCCTCTGTCTCCAAGACAGATGGACACACACACACACACACACACACACACACACACACACACACACACACACACAGAGCAGGAAGAAAGGCATAAGCTATAATAACACACAGATAAGATTAAGGAAGATATAAGTGCCAAGTGTGGTAGCAGCACTGGAAAAGAAGGGACTGATTGTCAAGGCTTTGTGTGTGGAAGTGGAAGGCTAACCTAACCTAACCTAACCTAACAACCTAACCTAACCTAACCTAACCTAACCTAACCTAACCTAACCTAACCTAACCTAACCTAATCTAACCTATGGTCGTGTTAGAAGTACCACATGTTTGTCTATGACAACTGCCTACCCTGAGCATTATGCACTAGCTCTGGAGTAGAAACTAGAATTGCCCTTATTTTACACATGAGGAAAACAGTGCTCTAGGAAATGAAGTATCTTTGCCAGGAAGGGACCCCCCTTTTCAAGATTTTTTTTTTTTAATGTGATCCTAAAAGTTTGGAATTGTTATGTGGTTTGGTGATCCCGTGAGACATTTTAGGCAATGGAACTGACTTTTAAGGAAGCTACTTCTAGCAGGATTGTGACATTCAACCTACTTTTTTTTTTTTTTTTTCTTTCAGGCCAATTTGCGACTTTTCTCCGTCTGCTTCTTCAGCAACTACAACTATACTTGGGGCATAGTTGTAGTTATTTGAGTGTATATCCCTCCACCTTTCAGTTGTAAGTATGAAAAAGAGAGGAAATGAGTTTAAAGGTTCTTAAACCACTGGGCTCAGCAGAAATATGTGCTTAAGAAATATTGGCGAACGAAACAAACAAATTGAGAATGTTATATTGAGAGAATTTATATTATATTTGGGAGAATAGGGAAATAACTCGAAGCCATAAACAGTGAGGGCAAGTGATGGGAGTGGTAATATTAAATCACAGTGGTTATTGCTAAGGTCTTTGTAATTTTGGCTTGTGGGTTTTTTTTTTTTTTGTTGTTGTTGTTTGGCTTGAACTTACTCATTCAGTGATGTTATTGCCTAGAACTGCCTTATCTGAAATGCAGTAAGTAGCAGAATAGCAGATAAATGTTCCTTGGTGAATTTTCTCTTAAGGAAGCAATCAGCCCTAAGAAATTCCCATAGAGAGAAATAAAGGGAATATGTTTTGTTTCTGTGGGGAAAACAAAAGAGAGGAAAGTAGGAGATGAAGGATGGAGGGAGAGAGAGAGGAGGGGGTTTCATGTAATTCAGATAATTTAAGTGTTAAACAGAATTGGGCTATAGTGCTGGTAGTAGATATCTTAGTTCTTGTATATAGATTTGTTCTTTGACCTATAGTTATTGATTGTTGTTACATCATTTCATGGACTAATGAGTTCCTCTTCTAGTATTTCTGGAGCACACTTTGCCATATCAATGACATACACAGCCTCTTCTTTGCATGCATTATTACAGAGATTACAGCAGTTCTAACTCCCCCAAAGACAAGTACTTCATGAGTCTCAGTTAGCAAGGTACACGACCAGAATTCAATTCCACATGAGACAGCAATCGGCTAGTATGATAAAGAATACTTTTATTGCTAACACTTATAATAGTAAAGTCTCATTTGATTGAGATTTGTTCTGACTCTTAGAAAAAGCAAGGGTTAAATAAGATTTGTGGTCTTACAATAACAGTGGTTAAGAGGATTGGTCAGACTGCCTGGATGGAATTCTAAATCGGCTGTTTGTTTTTTTCTGATGATAGTGGGGTAGCTGACATTTGCAGAGTAGCTTTCTCATGTGTAAAAAAGACAACCTACTTTCATTATAATCTGTTGAGAATATTAATAAATATGTCTGTTTATTCTTGTTTAGAGCATGGTTGGTATGTAACAGATGTCTCTTTGTCCTTGTTATAGTTCAATGCAGAGTTGCTATTTGGAAATGTGTCTTGAAGATTACATAGCCAAATGAAATGTGTAAATAACGCTCAATCTCTTAAGATTGTTACAGGTGATGGCTCATCTTGGTAGTCAGCTTGACACTTGACCCCCCTGAGAAGAGGGAACCTCAGTTGAGGAATTGCCTCCATCAGATTATCCGTGGGGACATTTTCTTGATTGTTATTTGATAGAGGAGGGCTCAGCTCACTTTTGCGTGGTCCTACTCCTGAGCCAGAATGCCCAGTGAGCAAGCCAGGGAAGCAAGCCACTGAGCAGCCTTCCTTTGTGGTCTCAGCGTCTGTTTCTGCCTCAAGCTCTTGCCTTGAATTCCCGCCCTGGCTTCCACTGACAATGGAATATAGTTTGTTAGCCAAGTAAACCCTTTCTTCCCAAGTTGTTTTTGGTCGGCGTTTTATCACAGCCACAGAAGGCAAACTAGACTGAAATGTAAATATGACGTGCTGTTAAAGTCATGTAATATCAAAGAATTGCATGGAATGTGTTTTCTGAGGTTGCTTTCTTTCTCTGTGTACATGGTCGATAAGCAAGTGTCTCTCCTACTCTCATTAGCGATTTTTCCGTGTTTTGTTTTGCACATAGAGAAGTTTGAAGGACTTATTTTATAGGGTGTTTTGTATAGTCTGTCCACTATCATTTCTATTACTTTCTGATGTTTTTCAAGATTCTTCTTTGGGAGATCTGGAAAGATGAGCAGCAAGAAACTAAGACGAGTGGGTTTATCACAAGAGCTGTGTGACCGTTTGAGCAGACATCAGATCGTTAATTGTCAGGTAAAAATTTATGTATTTTTAGATACATTTTATGTACAAATTAATTTTAAGTTTACGTTAGTAACTGTTAAACTTGGGTTATGAAGGCTTAGGGTTGTAGGGTCTGGGGAGATGGCAGAGTCAGTAAAGTTCTTGCCACGAAAACGTGAGGACCTGAGCTCTTATGCCCAACCCTGTCATAAAAGGCCAGGCCTGGCAGTGCACACCTCAACTCCCAACTCTAAGGAGGCAAAGACAGGAGGATCCCTGTGGCTTGCCGGGTAGCCAGTGTAGCCAAATTGTGACCTCCACGTCTGTCTCAGAGGTCAGATCTTAAAGAGTGACTGAAGGAGACATCCAGTGTTGACTTCTCGCCTCCACATGCCTAGACAATACAGAAATAAAAACGTAGATGTACAAAAACAAGTGAAATAATGGTGCTCCCTATACATGATTTAGGTTGCATTTGCAGCTGGAATTTTATGCACTGAAGTCCAATGGTTTTGTATTTTTGGGTGAGAATGATCATGGCATAAGAAAGAATGCCTGTGTCATTAGTTTGGGGTTCCTGAGAAGTTTCATCCACTTAAATTTTTTTTTTATTATTACTTGAGAAATATGACTTAAATGAGATTACTGCGAGGATGATTTCTCTTAGGAGAGACATTAATAATTAGAGTTATTATTATGATTTACTAATGTTAGGCATTGAGCCCCAGGTTTAAGTGTTCTGCAGCTGAGTTATACCCCCCGCCCAGCAGTAAATTTTTAGGACTGGCTTGATAAATGTATACAACAGAAGTTGCTTTTTTTTCTTTTTTTCTTTTTCTCATGCTACATCTTTAAGTACAGTAAAGAAGAATGTCCCTCTTAGGAGGGTAAATTAGGGTTAAAGTTTTATTTTAGGATTTTTGTCTTTAATGAACATATTTTCACAACATACAATTTTTGGGAATTGTTTATTTTCGGGATATCTTTATTCTGTTAATATATTTAATAGTAATGTCTATATTTTAAATGGTTTAAAAGTATGAATTCAACATTTTATTCTGTATTCTAAATTAAACATTAAACATCCCCATTCTCTCAGTAGTCAAAGACTTTTCTCTGAGTTAACTTTTAGCCTAGAAAACAAACACTTTTAAACCTGATTCTTTTGGGCATACATTTGGACCCATACTCAAGTGCAGTGCTCATCTGAACTTGGACTGGGTGGTGCTGTGTGTGGCATTGCTTGGTGTATCTTCTGAGACATGCTGCCTAGACTGTGTAAAAGAGCGTAAGACTGCCTCACATCCCTGAGTTGAGGCATATGTAGGGTGAAACTCAGTGGTAGGATGTAAAAGAGGCATACATCTTCTGTCTGCAACAAATTTCACCTCTGCCTAGAGATGAACAGCAACTGGAAGTTTCTTTTTGTTTTACATCCGCTTTTCTTTTAAAATAATAACAAAAAGAGCCCATGATGAAAATTTCTTTTTCATTCTTACATCTTTGTTACACATGCATGTTAAATATTTACTTTTCCTTTTTCTCTTTTTTAGGACTTCTTAGGTCTCTCCCCGCTGGAACTTATGAGAGTGACTGGCCTGAGTTATGGAGGTGTCCACAAGCTTCTGTGTGTGGTCAGCAGGGCCTGTGCTCCACAGATGCAAACGGTCTGTGTAACGTGGACAGCTCCCCCGTGAAAGCAGCGCTTTAGCTCAGATGGGCAGGATGAATCAGGGAGACAGGCGGAGACACCAGGGATGGAGGAGCGGTGGGGAAGTGTCTGGCCGCTGGGATAGCAAATGCCCAGGCTCTGGGAAAGGTGCTTGTTCAGTGATCAGCCAAGGCTGTGCCAGTGGAACACAGTCAAGAAGAGGGTTGCAGAGATGCAGCCAGTGAGAGAAGCAGGAGGCAGCGTGGGGTCTTGCAGACCATGCTGAGGATTTGGAACGTTATTCCAAAAGTGGTAAATCATAAAAGGGGACAGTTGGTCCATTTGAAAAAAAAAAATAGGTCTTGAATGTACATTGAAAACAAGCAAGAAAACATTGAGAAGCAGGAGGCAGCGTGGGGTCTTGCAGACCATGCTACAGATTTGGGACATTTTTCCAAAAGTGGTAAATCATAAAAGGGGACAGTTGGTGCATTTGAAAAAAATAGGTCTTGAACGCACATGGAAAACAAGCAAGAAAATATTCAGAGTCTACTAAAATATCTGTTACTCTGTTCTGGAAATGGTAACGGGCTATTCGTGTGGTATTGCAGCAGAGGCTGGAGCGCTGATCACTATGAGAGCAGTTTAGGAGGGAGGATTATTAGGAAAAAAGTCTTAGTCTCACAGATGAGAGAGACTTAAAATGAAAGAGTAAAACCTAAAAGAAAGAAAAGAAAGAGGGAGAGAGATGCCCCCTAATGTTTAGTCCCCTAATATAACACCGGTTTACCCCTTCCTGGTTGCCACTGCCCATGACAACCTGGATTTACTACAGTCAAAGGGGAATTGTCTGCATGGCATGCAGACTCTTTGGATATCTGATTGTATACTGGCTCAAACTGAAAAGTTGGGGTAGATATGTCAAGTGGCTCTGACGGTCACAGAGGATCGATCCACAATTGGAACCGCTGCCTGGCACCCAAAAGAACCTTTGTAGATGATGGTTGAATACAGAGAGTCACTTGGTACAAGCGTTTCACTGTGGCCATGGCTGCGGTGACCTTAAGTGAAGAGTCTGGAGGCTCCCTGGAGTCCGGTCAAGCTCCTCTGCTTCCCTCAGTCCATCTTTCTCTGTTGCCAGTTTGTGAAGCATGGTGTAGCATGAGTTCCCTCTGTTCACTCTTTTGTTCTGTTATGAGCCAAGAGTGTGCGAGCGTGCTTAAACTCATTACTTTCTGATGGTGATTTGCAAATTAAAAAAAAAAAAAAAAAGAATTGGTCGTGTTAAAAACCCTTCAGATTTGTGGTGCAGCACTCAGGTGCAGCACTCCTCCTGCTTCTCCACTTTATAACTGTAATTTTGCGACTGTTATGAATTGTAATGTAAATATCTATATTTCCTGGTGGTCTTAGAGGGGTTGCGACCCACAGGTTGAGAACCTCTGTTCTAAGCCAACAACAGTGTTTCCTCAAAATGATAATTGGTGGGGTTGGAGAGATGACTCAGCAATTAAGGACACTGGCTACTTTTCCAGAGGACCCAGGTTCAATTCCTAGTTCCCACATGGCAGCTCACACCATAACTCCAACCCCAGGGGATCCAATACCTCCTCCTGACCTCTTCACTCACCAGGCATGCATGTGGTACACAGACATACATGCAGGCGAAACACCCATCTACACAAAATAAAAATTAAACAAAAATAGGGTAATTTGTTATATTTACCACAAATGCATGGATTTAAGAAGAGAAAGTTGTTGTCTCATAGTCTGGCTCAGGCACAGCCGCACCCTCTCCAGAGTATCTAGGGGAGAATCCCTTCCTCGCCTCTTGCAGTTGCTGAAGAATGTTGGCATGCCTTGGCTTGTGGCCACTTCTCCCTCTGCTCCGTCTTTACATCATTGTCTTCTATTGAAGCTGCCTTTGCTTCTGTCTTAGAAGAACACTTTTGTTGGCATTTGTGGTCCGCACACATAATCCAGGATTGTCTCCTCATCACACCATCTTTAAGTTAGTCACATCTGTAGAGAGCCTTTCTCCTTTAAATATGGTGACATTCAGAGACAGGCTCCAGGGATTTGGTGTGGGTATCTTTTAGGGGCCATTTCTCACCCATCTCTCCAGCCTCCTTCAAGCTGTGCTCCACAAATCAACCTGAGTTCGAAATGATCACATGGCCGTGTTGCCTCTGCCGCAGAGCTCCTGGTGTGAGGCTCCTGCTGGCTTCTCCAGCCTGTCACAGCTGCTCTGCTGTCCCAGTCTGTCCGTCAGCCATCCTAAGTGAACTCCGTTGAATTCTTTGTGGTTTGCAGTTTCCCTTAGCTTCTCTGCTCCCCCACTTCTCGGTCTTTCTGTATGCGTCCTCGCCTCTTTGGCAGGAGTTCACTTTCCTTTTGCTTATCTAACAGTGGATTCAGAGTTTTGCACAGATATCTAGCTCTTCAGTGAAGCCCTCCAGACCACCATGTCTGGGCCAGGTGTAATTCGTTTGTAAGTCTAATAAGTTTGTAAGTTAACAATGTTGTAGTCACCCAGTGTCTGAATCCCATAGTCCTTGTTTTCCGATAAGCCTGTGTGAGCAAGGTAACTGTTATTGTCCATCCTTATAATTTAGCACGGTCATCGGCACTGGGTAAATATTCACTAGTCAAATGAGTAATAGAGGAAAGAAGGCTGGGTTATGGTTACAGAGTTGGTTTGTAACAACTGAGTGGAACTGAATGATTTTCTTGTTCAGGCTTATGAGATAAAGCTGCGGAGGTCTGCTGATCTCTCCCCAGCCTTCCTGTCTACTACCCTTTCTGCGTTGGATGAAGTCCTGCATGGTGGTGTGGCTTGTGGATCGCTCACAGAGGTAAAGGAAACCCGTACCTTCTTCTATAAGTGTCAGAGCCAGGAGGAATGGTTAGTTAAAAAAGACAAAAATGACCTCATGAAAACGAATGTGAACTAAGTTGTAAGTACTTTGCTGGGGTAGTCCTCCAGCCAGGGTCAGTGTAGCTGCTTTATAAACGGAGGCATTACACAAATCCTGCTGACTGACTACATGTGGCCCGGTTTTTGTTTCTTTGAATTGCTTCAGAAAGTGGTGAGTACTGGGCTCTGAGGAGGTGTCTGAGTGGGCAGAGTCCTTCTGCTTGCCTTGCAGTCATGAGGGCCTGAGTCGAGGTCACCAGCACCGGTGTCGAAGCCAGCTGTAGTGGTGTGTGTCTGTCATGCCAGTGCGGTGGAGAGGAGCTGATTCTGTCTCAAAACTCAAGATGGAGAGGAGCAGAGGAAGATGTTGAGTGTTGATCGCAGGCCTCAATCACATGTGCACACAACTGCACATGTACACACGTGCATGAATACACACACACACACACACACACACACACACACACACACACACATGCATGCAACCACAATATTATGAAATAGTATTAGGAAACAATTTGAGTGGATTGAAAAAAGGATTACTACTTAGGAAATTTCTAGTACGAATCAATTTTGATAATATTTGAGCAAATAATATATTAAACTATAGGGAGCTACTTTTGTTTCCTGCTATTGGTAGCATTTGATTCTAGGAAGCAATCACTTACTATATTATTTTATTTTGTTGCATAATGAATTGTCCTCAAGCTAACTGGCTTGAAGCAACGAGGAACACCGACTTCACAGTGTTTTGGGAGTGTCTGAGCTTAGGGACATTGGTAGTGCCTGCAGTCAGCCACAGTTGAAGATGCCCAGAGGAGCTGACTCCCAGGGGCTCACTCACTGGCAGGCTGGTGCTGTGTTTTGGCAATTCTTCCCTAAGTGGGGGCTTCACAGCCTGTATCTTCTCATGACATCCTGGCTGGCTTCACACAGGGTGGGTTGGCCAAAAGAGAGCAAGATGGAAGTGGTGGTGTCCTTGGTGATTACGCCATTGCTTATGACAGGTTCTCTTCATTGTAAGTGAGCTGTAAGCCCAGCTCAGGGTCAGGGAAAGGAAATTTAGGCTCTGTCCTTTGAATGAAGTTTCAGGAAGCAGAGAGCACTTCAGGAGCACTGTGGCTCTTTTCCTTGAAAGGGGCATTGGTGTGTATGGGTGTGGCATCTGTAGGCTGCTTATCAGTATCCTGAGAACCTCTTGCCTGAAAATTTCAGAAGCAAACTTCTAAGAGCAGACCCACTGTGTGTGTGTGTTCGTGTGTGTGTTTGTGTGTGTGTGTGTGTGTGTGTTTGTGTGTGTGTGTGTGTGTGTGTGTGTGTGTGTGTGTGTGTTCGTGTTCCTCGGTATCGAACCCAGGACCTTAAGCATATTATGCAATGTCTGACTCACTGAGCTACATCCCCAGTGTTTTCTTATAGTTCTCATAATCATAATTTAATTGTAATTTTTTTCTTAAAGATAGGAATCCTGTTTTAGGGAATATTTTATTTCCTTTATTCCTAGAGAGATTTAAAGACTGCTGTGTCTAGTAGATACCTATTAAATAAATAGTTGATGAATGAATAAGCTAATTGAAGGGCTTGTTGTTGTCATTGATTGCCACCAGATGGTGCCAGAATTACACTTTACACACAATCCTTTTGAGGTTTGGCTGGACCAGGTCAATTAAGGACTATAGCTGATGGAGTTGTAAATTTACTTATACAGAAAAAAACAAAAACAAAAACAAAAACCAACTGAATCTAAAGATGATTGACCAGTGCATGTGTTTTATCCTTGCGTTTTATAGTGATTTCCCCCACCTTGTTCCTTTCACTTCACTTACAAATTGTTTGAATTCAAGTGAAGTTACAAGCCTTTTGGGTGTTTTGTAATGATCCGTCTAGCTGGCTTATAAGGCTGATTAGTAACGAATTCTTTACTTTCTGCCCTGGTGTAGTTCATTTCTAAAATCTTTTGGGGACTTCCAGTTGAATTCAGGGAATAGCTTACCTGCATCCTGAATTTTTACCATTCTCTGTAGTTTCCTTTTACTTTATAGTTACGTGGGAGGTATACAGTTTTTGTTTTGCTTATTTTTGAACTTTAAAAATCATGTATCTGTGATTAAGTCATCTCTCATGTCTCCTTTATAAATTGCTTTATTCATTTAATGTTATTTCTAAGATTTTTTTTTCATGTTGCTTCAGGTAGCAAGAACATAATTTTTGCTGCTGTGTTATATTTCATTTTGAGACTATGTCACATTGTACTGCTTTTGTTATTAGTGAACGTTTGGATTGTTTCTCATTTGCTGCTGATAGGAATAAGTCCTGTGAAAACTTTTGCAAGGCTGCTGGATAGCATAGGGAAGTTTCCCGCTGGGTCAGGGATTGGAGAACCACCACCCAGCAGTTAAATTCAGCTCACTGCCCGTTTGTGGAAATAAAGTTTTATGGCCAAGCTCATTTGTTTACATTTTGTGTGTGGTTGTCTTGTGACATAAGGGCAGAGTTTAGTTAGTTGTGACAGAGACCATATGGTATGCAAAGCCTGAAGGATTTTCTGTGTGGCCACTGCCTGGAGTGTCTGGCCTGGAGTGGTTTAGTGGTTGCAGTGTGTGCACATGGGTAACCTCACACAGTCAGGACCAGTTGTCCTCCAGAGTGCTGTGCTGGCTCATACTCCCACCAACCAAGTGCAGACATCCTGCCAGGCTTCTGTCTTCTTGCCTTGGTACAGTCAGAATTCTGTCCATCCTTAGATCTTAGTTTTATTTTTCCTACCGACTGTTGATCTTTTAGCTGTCGTTTGGAGACTTTAAAAACAACTCTCTCCAGGTATAATTTAAATACCTAGAATCCAGGCTTTGTCAGCGTCCATCTGTGCGGTCCCCACTGCGGTCTCCTTCAGGAGGCCTCCATCTTCTTTGTTCCACTTGCAGGGAATCCTCACTTCCATCCTAGGCCCAGGCAAGCACTGATCCGTTTTCATCCTCTATAATTTGCTTCCTGTAAGCATTTCACATAAATGAACTCATGCAATTCGTAGTCAGTTCTGTTTAGTTTCTTTCACATGGCATTTTTAAGGTAACTAAATGTTGTAGCACATCTAAGGAATTTGTTCTTTTTAACCATTGATATTCCACTTCACAGATAGGGCATATTTTGTTTACTGTTCATTAGTTGACAGGTATTGGATATTTCCAGTTTTTATCTATCATAAATAATGTAATATTTATGGGTATGTTTGTGTAAAATTGGTTTTTGTTAGTCTTGGGTAAATACTCTGCTAGGAGTGAATGGAAAGACTGGATCGTATAATGTACTTGGCTCTTTGAGAATCCGCCAGACGGGTTTCCAAAGTGACGGTAGCATTCTGCATCCTCACTGGAATGCACAGTGTTTTTATTCAATACACTCTCACCAACACTTAGCATTTTTTTTTTTTTGATGCCAGTTTTGAACCTAGGCCCTCACACATGCTAAGTACACAGGCTGCCATACATCTATGTCAGTGTGCACCAATGCCTGTTTGTGTTTTATTTCAGTTCCTCTCATGAATGTATGGGTTATTTCTCTGTGGCTTTGTTTTGTATTTCTCCAGTGTGTTCATCTTTATGTCTGCTTGTCTCTTTCATTGTGGCATCTGCCATATAGCTCAGGCTGGCTTTGAACTTGTGATCATCTTGATTCCTACGTGATTACAGGTGTGCACCATCATACCCAGCTTCTTTATTTTCTAAGAATCATCTTTTGCTTTTATTTTTTAAACTTGTTTTTATTTTATGTGTATAGGTGTTTGCCTGCATGTGTGTATGTGTACATGCGTGCCTGGTGCCTGCAGAGGCCAGAAGAAGGAGTTAGATTCACTGAAACTAGAGTTACAGATAGCTGTGAGCCACCATGTGGATGCTGGGAACTGAACTCAGATCCTCTGCAAGAGCAGAAGTGCTCTTATTTGTTGAGCTATCCGTTCAGCTTCATATCTGTAACTTTTTTTTTTGTTGTTTTTTGAGACAGGGTTTCCCTGTGTAGCTTTGCCCCTTTCCTGGAACTCGCTTTGTAGACCAGGCTGGCCTCGAACTCACAGAGATCCACCTGCCTCTGCCCCTCCTGAGTGCTGGGATTAAAGTTGCGCCACCACCGCCCGGCTTATATCTGTAACTTTTAATTGAATTGTTAATATAGTTGGTTAAAATTGTATTGGGGCCAGTGAGATGGCTCACTGTTTAAAGAAGCTTGCCATTCAGCCTGGTGTTCCAAGTGTGATCTCAGGAACCCACATAGAGATGGATGAGAAAACCATCTCCAGGAAGTCTTCTCTGTACCTCCACATGTGTGCACAGACACAGTAATAATACACAAATTAACTAAAATAATTGCTGTAGTAAGCCATACCCTTCCTGGTTTGAAAAGGATTACTCTTCTCATATTTCATCATTAAAAATGATGGTGAGTCTTACTGAATCAAGTGATAGAAATTAGCAAGCTGAACAATGTTAGGTTACTGAAGCTGTTAATTAATTGTACTATGATTATGTAAAAAAAATCTTATTAGGAAACACACACTAAAATATTTAGTGAATAACTTTGATACATACAGCTAACTCAGATAGTTGAGAGAAATATGTATCTTACACATACATATGTAGACTTGAGAGAGGGCAAAAAAGGATAAAAAAAATGGGAAATGAATTCAAATGGCTTCTGATATTCTGTTGTTACTATTACAATTTTCCTATAAGTTTAAATTTCCAGATAGAAAGTGAAAGAAAATCATCCAACCCATAATATTTGCTGTAGGTATTTGAGACTTATCCTTGGTCAGATTCAAGGAAATTTTCTTCTTTTCCTAGGTACTGTATTAGTTTGGTGTTGACTTGTACCAGGTGCCTTTTTTTGCATGAATTGAAATGAGCATTTTCTGTGTTGATCTAACATGAAGTCAGTAACATT